GATTCAAGAAAGCTTTGTTTACAGATGCATTCTTATGTTTTTATATTTTTTTTAAAATGGAAACTTGGATTCCTCCCATGTTACACTTTCATCTAGAAAACTTTTTGGTCTATTGTCCCTATTTGTCCAATTTTCTTTTTTTAAAGATTTATTTATTTATATAAGCTCTGGGTACAGTCAGAAGCGCAGGAGGGTAAGAGAATTCACCAGAGCCAGAGTGGGGAACAGGACAGACCGACAAAACACACTGCTAAGGGGGCAGCGGGCATGGCAGTGGGGTCTGCGCGCCACGTGGGACCCTCCCTGGCAGCCAGGGATCGAAATGGCACTGCAGAGGCTGCAGGCAGCTTCGCAGCCCAGCACTCAACCACTGCGCCACCAGGGGAGGCCCCCTATTTGTCCAATTTTGATTCCACTCTCAGCAACTTCTCTTCAAGGTGAGGTCTTGTTCTGGACAGGATCTCTAGCAAGTTGGTTTTGAGAGTTCCTAGTGAGTAGTGGGTTTCAGCCTCTATGGTCTTGACGGTTACATTGAGGTTCTCCTTTACTTGGGTCTCTCAGGTGTTACCCCATTGCTTTTCTTGCTCCTCTCACAGAGATACCAGTATCATTGCAGACTTGAAGCTAATGGCGCTTTGTCCACATCTGCCCATATTTTGGGGATTGTGAGAATACCTTGTCGCCTCGTTTTGTGGTTGGTGCTATTATGCTAGGATTTTAGTGTGGGAACTGGAAATCGATGCTATTGCCACACCATCTTCCCCAAATCCTATAGTTAACAGATATACGAAGTATGATGTGGGTTATTTGTGTGCCCACTACTGTTAAATCCATGCTTTTTCTGAAACTTGTGTTCCATTTCATGTTTGATTGTTTCATGAGAGGATGATCGTCTGCTACTTTAAACCTAGTCTCATTGATTGAAACAATGCTCCATAAAAGCCTTCAACATTTCTTGTATTTTTTGACAAACTTGCCTTATTTCAACTCAACAAGTATTCAAGAATTATGTCATTTTCAACATAGTCTAGCCATATATGTAACAATAACTATTAGCTCAGTCTCAGTAGACAGGCATTTCCAGAACACTAGTATCTGACTTGAAAGGCACATTAATAAAACTACTGAGATTGTCCACTTGGAGTTCACCTGTTCAATATGGATATATGTCAGAAATATATAACAGCTGCATGTTACCAACTTTGACTGTAAACATGAGAGTAGGGATCTATGTGCTTTGTTCACCATTACATTCCAAGATTTAACTGTACCTGAACATCTAAAACAAAATCACTCAATTTTTTTTAGTAAATCAGATCTTAGTAGATTGTTTATATGAAGCTCTTTCCCCCGCCTCTTATTCACTGGGAGATGTTTCAACACCACCCATCACTTAAAATAACAATTTCATACAGCCTGATGCTGACTTTATGTAACCATTAATGTCAACTGAGAATATTACAGGCATATACAAGAATGATAAGATGGATAAGAAGGTTTGGACATTGTTACTGGCAATGCTCAGGCTATTCTATTTTTGACTTCTGTAATAACCTAATACTTAAGTCACAGACAGGAACATGGTCAGCAAGAGCAGTCAAAAGATGTCAACAGTTGTCAGAAATTTTCCTCAGACCCATTTCCCAAACTTAAGGGGCTGAATTCAGGGAACCTCCCCGTCAGAACTATGCCATCCAAACATAGGGAGATTCCTCCTTATGGAAGGCTGTTTCCTTCTCAACACAGAAGTGTTGGCTTCCCCAAGGCCTTTATTCTTTTTCAAGTTCACCTTCTCCAGGAAATCTGGACACTTTGGGCAAAAGAACTTCCATAAATCCCACTGAAGCTTCCCTGAGTAGTCATTCATCTGACTATCTAAGGCAAACAGCAATACTGAGACAGAGGAGGCGAGTGGAGATGAAGGAAACTGAGAAAAAGGCTGAGAAGGGAACATTTCCTATCTAAATGTTCATCATAATGAGAAGTTGGGACAATTTTGTGACAATTTTATTAGGTGGCAAAGTTTTTTTCACCCCATGATTAAAATCTTGAAGCATTTATGAGTGGTTTGCATTAGAATAACTAAGAAATTATATACTCCATATCTAGAAATTTTAAGATACATATTAATAGAAAGCCTTTACAAACAGAGTTGAAAATATATCAGGAGCATTTTCAACTACAGAATGTGTCAATTATGGATGTAGTTTCCAGCTCTGAAAAGACTTTGGCTTGGGAACCGTAAATAATTACTTAAAACCAGTAATTACCATCTCCTCTATGAGATTTCATCTATTTTAGGCATTAACAATTCTCCGTTTCCATAAAGTAAGACTAAATGTGAGGGTTCCTCTGTGAACCTGCTCTGCTTTGTCAATTGATGAGACTCAGTTTTACCTGAATGTTTAAGGTTCTCATTTCTAATGCCTAAATATGAACAATCTCCTGAAATGTACAGGGGAAAGGAGGCCTTGAATGTTGTACTGAATCGTCACCAGTGATCTCATAGTGGTTCTGATTCCTACTCTGCAAGGGCCCTATTGATGGGAACTTCTACAGCATCATTTATCTTTCTGATGTCACTATAAATTTCATCAACATTACAAGGTTCAATGCTACTTGCAGAACTATGCTACAATGCAACTATCAGAACTAGGGGAAATATTTCGCTACCAGAATTAATAAATAAAAATCTTTATCAAAGATGATTTTTTGGAAAATTCTGTAAGAGGAAGTAAAATAAGGGAGGGGTGGGTTGCTGAGAAAAATAACCAGTCTTTTCTAAATACGTATTGTGGTTTGTTAAACAGTTACCTTGTTCTACAAGTGCTCTTGTTTATAAGAGTACCATGAAAGTACTTTTTTCTTTTTTTTCCTGTGGGAGAAGGGAAGCAATGAAGGAAATGAAAGAGTTCATTTAAGTGCCATATTCACATAAGGCTAATTTGTAAAAGCTCAATCCAGCTGAATACATTTACAGTCACCATTGGTCCACAAAACTTCAGTTGAGAGGACTAATTGAGATTCTCCAGGAGAGCTCCCTTGTCTGTAGTAGTTACAGAATGTCTCATTAGGCATTCAGTGCCTCCCGCTTCTCTAGAATACTAAGTCTAACTGCTTGGCCTGAGTTTACAGTTTGTGAATTTCCAATAGATTCTAATACACCGCTACTGTGAGACTGATTTTGTTTTGGGGCCCCTTGCCTTTTTGGGGAGAGGGAACTTCAAACTAAAATTGCTATTAACAGAATTATTATCAATTATAACAGGAATACTGTTTAAAAAAACAAAAACCAAAATCTGTGCCCGAATTCCAAGACTATAATATACAGGGGAAAGTCCTATTAAACACCTATAGTTGCACTAGAGAAGTGCTTTCCATAAAAGAGGATCATTAGGGCTGATGTCTGGAGTTCAGAGAGATTAGTAAACTCCATAAAATCTCATTTTATATTCATTTGCAATTCACTGTATTGATGTAATCGATGAACATTTGACTTATTTTGATCAGTGAGAGCAGGACACCCATCTACTTTTATTTTATTCTTTACTGAAATATGTTGTAGTTCCTTTTTTTTTTTCCCCTAAAGTTGTCAGATAGATTAGTGTCATGGGCAACTTCATGCTTATTTTAAATATTTAATTAGAAGCCTCTCCCATGAGCTGAAAACAAAAAATCTCTTGGCACAATTATAGAGTAACTTTTCCCCTCTTAATGCTATTTTAATATCTTACAAAGAAGCATGGGATGAAACTAAAATGCTAAAAGATTTCTAGATATCTGCCATTATAACTGTTGATGAGCTTTCATTTGTATGTAAACAATGATACACACATTTACATATATACACATATACACATACACACATATATTCTTGTGTGTGTATGTTCATGTATAACATTTGCCTGAATCTAAAGTTTGACTGTATTATTCCAGTTATGCTTTTCAGGAAAGAAAAAAAACTATAGATGTGCTTCTGTCTAAAAGGTGACTTTTTTCATATATTTCATAATTAACTTTTTCCAAAGTAAAATGTAAAATTTTGTACTGCTGTAAAATTTAAATATTTTTCTTCTAATTGAACATAGTAATATAATCAAATATAATTTTCCTTTTAATTTCCAACTACTTTTTAAATGACATTCTGAAGGAAGGCCTATAAGCAAATGAACTTCCACAGACAATTTATTTTAGCCTTTAATGCATTTTCTACTAAAAATCAAGCTTTCAAGACAGGAAAATATTACTGGTTTTGTTATTACAAAAAAAAACAAGTGAGAATTTTAATTCACAAATGATGAAAACACAAGACATTGATCTCAGCATACATACACAATAATATTACAATAAACTGATTATCTGTAGACTAACAAAACATTTAAGACTTCACAGACACTCATGTGTACTTTGAAATAAGAAATACATGACAAATTTAATCTTTTGACATGTCTATAATTACCAAAAGAAAGAATATCACTGATTTTAGTTGTTATCCTGGCATACATTATAAGCCAGTCCTAAAGCATACTGTATTATTAAGGACATCTTTAGGCAAATATAAACATTCTGTAAGCATTATTTGGGGACTTTTTCTCTCTGCCCAAAACTATCAAGTAGCTTGGTTTGTATCAATTTAACAAGATCACAACAACAAACAATACTTCACCACAAAACTCAGGTGAGAGTTATTCAGATAAATCATACAAAAAATACTTGTTCCCGTGGAAGGCAATCTGTAAATTATAAATAAAATTCTACGAAAAAGAGTCTTGGTTACAATCATTCATTTTCAAATACGTATTAAGAAATTAAAAGTGGGGGCAATGGGGGAGACTGTTGGCATGGCATTAGGAGAAACAGTATGAAATAAGGAAAATATACTTGCCACAGGAAATACTGGATTCAGATGACTTTTTTTAAATGATGTCTAAGAGTATGATGGTAGCAAAAACAAAAAGCAAAACCAACCAAAAAAAATTAAGAACCAAAATGCGCATTTTCAATGGAAAAAAATCTCTAAACCTCTTATAGTTTTCTTTATTAAGATTAGACATTTCATATACAGCAGTTAATCTAGAAAAATACATTAAAAAAAATTTTCAACAGACCATGCTCTCTGTAACAAAATCTTCCAAACCCTGTTTTATTATACAAATCAATCTACATTAGTAACGTAAAAAGAACTCCTCAAATTTAGCAATGTCATTTCCACCTGACATCCATCTAATTTACATATGGGTTTCCACTATTCATACTGCAGTTAGAATTCTGTAATAATTTTTTTCTAATGTATTCTGTACATATTAAATAACCTAAAAGGTTTCTCTTGTAGTGCATTTACCATTTAGCAAGTCTAGTCAGTATTTTTCCAGTACCATTTGTATTACAGTGATTTGCCTGTAAATGTAATTAAAATCTAAAAGTGCACACAGTTAACTTTCTCAAATAACAGCATAATTCTGGAGGAAACCTAATATTCACAGAAAAGAGTACCAATATAAAGATTAGAAATGTAAGGTTAGAATGTACTCTGAGACTATACAACACAATTATATACATAAGCTAAGACATTAAGTCTTTAGCTTATATTTACACATCAAACAATGTTTCCACAGGGTCATACCAAGAACTCAGTATGGCACTAGATATAATTAGGGTTGCTAGCTACAAATCAGTGTAGCACAGACAACCCAAAAATACCCTGAACTGACTTATGCTAAATTAAACTCCAATATATCACAGTGTTTTAAGTAACATTAGTGTGCTGCCCAAACAAGCAACTAAGATATCTGATAAGGATGCTGCACAACACAGAAAAAGACAGCAAGCCTTCATTAGGGGATATTTGAGTTATAATGAATCTTAGCACTTAGACTGCCATTGCATGCAGACACCCTGAAAAAGAAATACACAGGTTTTCAAAATGGATATACTTTCTTTGTTTAAAATGCCCAAGAGAGTTTTCAATTTAACTGACACTAAGTACTGTCTATCAAGTGATGACCATAATGAATCATGAGAAGATGCTCTGCAATTATCCAGTTTGAGAGGAAAAAAAAAAATCACAACTGTAGTCTTCTTACCAAATTATCCAGTGTATATGACTGGTAATAATCACAAGTTTTAATCTTTACTGAAATTCAGAGTATGAAATGTAAGCATTCAGAATAAAATTAATTCAAATCACACATAGTTATATCAACTTGCAACAAAGCAGCAAATATGAGGGCCTAATAGATATCTTGCTTGACTCTCTCACTCCCTTCTGATCCCTCAAAAAAGTGCAAAATCAAAGTCACTGCTTGGTCCAAAAATAAAAAACATCATGAATAAGAATTTCAAATCTGATGGAATCCAGCTTCTATTACACAGGTTGTCTTCAGTAAGAGTCAACGTCCAAAAATGGAACTTAATTCCAGAAGAATTAATTCTACAATCTGATTTTGGTAGACAGTATGAACTGCTATATTACCAGTCTCTTTCTCTGGCTTTAACAGAGTAGGGCCAAAAACAATTGCTATACTCTGATAGGTCATTCGGTTCTTTTCTCCATTTTCTATGACTCTAAAGGGGAAAAAAGAAATCATTAAAAGAGGAAATAAAAATTAGAGAAGGAAATTTCAAATTTTACAAACAAGAACAGTTTTCATTTAAAAAAGAGAAATAATGCTCATTTTCCTAAGGTACATAAAAACTACTTAACCAAATAGAAATCAGTTCCAATGCCCTTTGAAGCTTTCTTTTGGATAAACACAGCTGACAGATATAACTATATATATATATATTCTAACCAATTTAAATGTTTCATATTTTTGCTCAGTGTTTAAACTGAAACATGGACTTAAATATGAATTACAATTCCAGATATCAATGATTACTCCATTAGGTTGATGAGGGAAAATATTACATCATAGAGATTAAACTTTCAACTTATTTTATGTTTTTTTAAAAGCTCTCTCTCACTAGGATCATTTATCCTATCAGAAGAAAAAAAATCAGTTGTTTAAGTAGCAATCTAGTAACTTAGAGCCACGGTGGCTTTCTTTTAAGGTAATTTAATATCCCCCCTTTAGTAACTAATATCATCTTCACATTAATTTTAGCAACAATTTTGAATACCAATTACATGCTATGCATTATATACATATAATATCTACATTAATGTATTCTTCATACCAAACCACTTTACCTATAAGGGACTTAAGGCTTCCAGGAATTGAGTTACCTTTTTCAACTTAAAGACAGCAAGTAGCATAGTTGGCATCTGAATCTTTGATTTACCCTGACCCCATGGAAATTACACCATATAGTAATAGAGAACTATATAGTTCTCTTACTTTTTACTCCCCTATATTACTTCTTTATTGTAGTGAGACACTCTTACCTTTTTAGATGTCTAAAAAGAATCTGCATTGTATCTTGATTTGGCTTTGGCAACTGTTTGATTAAGTCCTTAACAGCAGCCACTCGTTGTCTTGGTTCTTGTTCTGGGAGGGAAGAAAAAGACAGTAACTAGAGATTTTGCATGAAACTGAAAGCTGTGACATATTTTAGAACATGGTATTTAGTAACACACAGTGACATCTGGTGGTCACATTTAAATTTTCTGGAGTAAAACAAATACTCTGGAAAAATGCTTGTTTAAAATAAGATTGAACGGGATGTAATGTAAGCTTACTCTGTACAGAAGATTTTCAATATTTAGGAAAAAACTGAGTGGAATGACATACTTACTAATTGCATTAACAAAATCATTAAAATGATTAAATGTAAAAAGGGGTTCTGGTAATTCTCGAAAAAACATTTTGAGTGCTCCAGTAATGACATGAATATCTTCCCATTTACTATCATTCAAATCCAATTTCTCATCTGAAAAACAACAGGAATAGGAAATTTAAAAAAAATCACGTTAATTCCAATAGTATAGGTGATGACTCTGGCTATAACAAAAAGGAATATGATCTTACCATGATTGACTGCAAATCTCAACTTCTGGATCACTGCAAGGTTGCCACTTACTCTGTATATCCCATCAACATCCAAACCTAAGGTAATAACATAAAAAACAAAAAAAAATTTTTTTGTTTAAAGTATTTGTTTGCTGCTTCTAAAGATGCCTGCATGTTTTAGAATTCTTGTTAACATTATCCTAAAAATCATATGGGCAAACACTCTTTTTCTCTAAATTGCTTTTCATACAGACTAGAGAGGGGTAAAGATTCAATCTGAACTCTTAAATAAATAGCAACAATTCTATTTTGTTTATCCTGTAAACTGTGGAGCACCTCAAGGAAATCATCTCATAAAACTTGAAACACTAACAATTTTAAGATAAACTTCTGCAACTACCTGGGGATCACTCAAAAGGTAAAGGAAGCCAATAGAGAAAATCATTCCAACCATTTTTTCATAACCTTTTGATAATGTAAATTCACATGTTAAAGAACCCCTTTACAAGTGCTTGTCATACTAATCAATCATAATAAATAAACGTAACCTAAGCTAATAGTTTGATAGTTTAATCATTTCTTTTATAAGTAGAACAGAATCACTTGAAACGCACACAAAGCCTAAAAAAATTCAAATATTCATTAAATGATAATGCTGTACACATTTAACAAAGCACATTATCTAATGTGTATTCATTTATCTTCAAATAAAGGCAAGTAGCATGGTGTCTCTTGTCATGTTGACAAGAAAAGTAAAACACAAGAGTACAGTAGATCTCAACTGTAGAAATTAAATTAAAAATTATGCAAATGTTTTAACTGTGAAAGATGTGTTTGCTACTATACAGATATATAAGTTAATGTGATGGCAGTCATATTACTTTATATAAAATTAGTATATCATAAACATGTTAAAATCAATGAAAATAGCATTTTAAGACTTACATTAAAGGAAATGACAAAAAGGATTTGTTTTTATATACTTTATAGTTAAGTATATTTTATTATAATATTTTAATTATAAGATGAAAGAAATATAATCTCGTATGTTCCATACTGTCAAATCATTCCTTAATAAACTCAGTTCACAATCACCACTTTTATTTTAAGCAAACGCTAATTCCAAATGGGCTCAAAGAAGGCAAAATGTCTAATAAACCATAATTACTGAATATTCAGTTGATACCTACAAAAATTTTCATTTCAAACAGGCACAAATATAACTTTTTGCAAACAAGATGCTCTTCTTAACATCTGAGTTTTGCATTTCTTAAAATTATAAAAATCCCAGGGTAAAATGATGTATTGATGTACTTATTAACATTAAAATAAAATTTTCTTACCAAATTCTTCAACATGTTCGATGCATAACTTCACAAATTTTGGCACTGTGCCACTCTCCTTCTGACACAGACTCGCAAGATTGGCTCCGAATACCTGATCTGAAAGATTCATTTCAAGAAATTAACCACCTTGCTAAAATCTAGTTCTCAAAATGTCTAAACCTATTGTAGTACAATAAAAAATATTCAGTGTATTCATATCCAGACACTTACACCTTTTATGATCTACAGTCTGCCTACCTCTTCCAATTTCATTTCCATATACCTTCTTTACTAAATTGCATGAATACTACAATTCATTCTTGCCCAAAAGATTTTATTACTTTCTACTACTAAATCTTAACCCAAATTGAGTTCCTTCCCATCACTTCTGGTCTCAGCTAAAAAGTCAGCTTCTTAGAAAAACATTCTGACCATCCTAAGATAACCCCAATTCGATCACTCTCTATTTTATTACCATGTTAGATTCTTCAAAGTAGTTATAACTATTTTAAATTATCTTGTCCGTCTGTCATTTTTAGACAAGCTTCACGATGGCAGGGACCTTCCACAAGGAGATATACGAAGCACCTAGGTTCGTGTCTAGCACTTAGTAAACACTAAAAAATTTTTTTTCTTTAAGATTTATTTATTTATACAAGAACCGGGGTACAGGTCAAAGACACAGGAGGGTGAGAGAATTCACCAGAGACAGAGTGGGGAGCAGAACACGCAGATGGACTGAAGACACTGCTAAGGAGAGCACTGGGCGAGGCTGGAGAGGTCTACCACGCCATGTGGGTTTCTCCCTGGCCACCGGGAATTTGAACTGGTGCTGCAGAGGCTGCGGACAGCTTCGCTGCACTCAACCCGCTGCGCCACCAGGGAGGCCCACATTAAAAAAAATTTAACTATTAAATCAAGCAAGTACATGGCCATCATGTTATAAACCTGATTATACAAAATATATTTTCAAACCTGTTCTATTATTAATCCTGCAATCCAACAATTTTGAAATGCCTCATTAGTGTTTAAATGCTCAGGTATCCAACCACTATGGAGAGCTGTGTGGAGATTTCTTGACTTACTAAACATAGAGCTTCCATATGATCCAGCAATTCCACTCCTAGGTATTTACCCAAAGGACACAGAAACATCAATTCCAAAGAACACCTGCACCCCTATGTTTATAGCAGCACTATTTACAATAGCTAAGCTTTGGAAACAACCCAAATGCCCAAAACTAGATGACTGGATCAAGAAGATGTGGTACATATACACCATGGAGCATTACTCAGCATTCAAAAAAGATAAACACATGCAATTTGCAGCAACATGGATGGAGCTGGAAGGGATCATACTCAGCGAAATAAGCGAGAAAGAAAAAGAAAAATATCGGATGGTCTCACTTATAGCAGGAATCTAGAAAACTTAAATAAGGGACCAGGAAAAAGAATAACTATAAGAAAGAAAATATCAAAATCAACAAACAACTATGAACCAGAGACACTCTATGGGGGGTGAGGGGGTGGGGAAAGGAGGGATTGGGATCAAAATAAGGGGGTTGTAATTGTATGGGAATATAAAAATAAAATTTAAATTAAAAAAAAGAAAATAAATAAATAAAATATAAAAATTGTAAATTAAAAAAATAAAAAAAAACATGCTCAGGTAAATAAACATATGAAATGATAAACAATATGGCAAAGTAGCAATGGTTAATATTTCTCAATGAAAAAGCCTAGTGAAAAAAATTAGCATCAATTTCTATTCATTTATCAGGCAGGTTTTTTTTCCTTACGGTCCTAAACTCAGTATGTTAAAATCATACATATTATCTGGAAATAAATGTTTATCCATAATTTATAAGATTGCTAATTTGACTCAATTAGTTTAACTTTTTCCTAGCAACTTAAAATATCTTTTAAATAAAACCTATTTGTGTATTTTACACTTTACAGATATTCCAGTAATGAGCTTTGTTAGGAACTTTATAATCAGAGACATAGATGTATGCCATTTATTACATTACCTTTACCCACATCTTATTTATGAGTACATGTCAATATTGTGAGTCATGTGAAAGAAAATTTTATTCTGGAATTAAAGGTGCTTATAAGAACTAAAGGTATATCAAGTATATGTGAATTTACAGTATATTATTAAGGAAAAGATCTTCTTGGGTCATTATAGTACTTACAGGTTAAATAATAAATGTATAAGTAACTGGAGGGGAGAGAACACCTTGTACTAATGTTAAAATTACCTGAACTGAGAACTGAAAGCAAACAAAAATGAGACTGTCCAATATTTTTCTCCTTTATTTCTACCATCTTAGTGATCATTTATTCAAAATTTCTTCCAAGCTATTTATTTTAAAACTAAGAATTGTTATTGTCATGTCTCCTAAAATCTGCCACCCATTACATGTATGTAGTTCCTCTGGTACAGGTTTCTAAAAACTCGTTTGGTTTATATCCACACCATTCAATGCTAAAACAGACTTTATGAACATTGAAAAAAGATTTTAATCATTTATTTTAATCACTGAACCTGGTAACTTTACTAAACAAAGAATGAATGAGAACATTTTTACTGTTTGGAATTTTTCAGATTTTAATTTTAAAATGTCTTTCTTCTGAATATGACCAAAGTTCACAATCATAAATATCACTTCTACCAACCTTTAATGTAACCTTTTTCACGAACAGCTTGCAAAGTGGGTCGTCGAGTAAGAAACTTCTTTAAGTTTTTCTTGGTTTTTTTCTGTTCTGAAGAATCTATGCTAGACATCTTCATGGCTTAAGAAAGAAAATAAGCATTTCATAAAACACTTAGCACTCAAAAAAGATTAATCCCATATGTAAAAACTACATGTAAAATTCAGTTATTCTAACTTTAATATGGTTTAAATATAACATGAAGAATCAAATTAGCACAAACCAAGTTTCAAAGTGATAAACCAACACTGTACCCTTCCTTTGTGCCAACACATTCCTAAATTATTCTAGTTTATACTGACTCACCACTGATTTTAGAAGGTTAAAAGGGGCCAGCAAAAAAATCCATAAAATATAAAAATCTCTATCCTTACTGAACTAGGACTCTAGAAATATGTATATCCACACACATACACATATATATGGGATATATACATCCATCATAACTATTTGTACTTTAGTTATACTTTGTGTAACTGTGTCTCATCATAATTATCTGTACTCTGAGCTAAGAATGGGACCACCTGGAAAATGTTCTGTGTTGCCTTTAGTCCTGGTTTCTTTTTTTTGATTACAGTAATAAAAATTCAAAAAGTAAATTTTTTGAGAATAACTATATATGGGAAAAGTTGAGAGCACAGACAATAAAGTTGTAAAAAAAAAATGAGGTTTTTATGTGTTTACATTGTTATATAGTGACATCAGTAATACTCTTACACGTCATTAAAACGTGGGAGAAGAAAAATAGGGCTGATTTTCTAGCCATTCAGTTAATTTGAGGCCAGCAAACACTCAGTTAAATGTGGATTTGTTAAAATAGATTTAACAAAGTTCAGAGTCACAGCTAATGGCCTATTTAAAATGTGATTCACAAGGGACCCGCATTAGAAAATGCTATTCTTAAAATTGCTGATGCAGTGTCCTGTCCTTTAGGTATATGTGATCTGGAGATAACAATGTGTGCATCTGCACTTGCTAAGCAAGTGGCCTGGTAGCAAGAAAAGAACTAGATGCACACATACACATGGCTTTTGACTTTTAAAGTTTAAAATTCTACCGAGGGCCTCCCCGGTGGCGCAGCGGTTGAGCGCTGGGTTGCGAAGCTGCCCGCGGCCTCTGCGGCGCCGGTTCAATCCCCGGCTGCTCCCCGGCCACCGGAGGAGGATCCTACATGGCGCGCAGACCTCTCCTGCCGCCCGCTGCTCCCCTCAGCAGTGTACTTTGGTCCTTCTGCCTGCTCTGCTCCCTGCTCTGCTCCCTGCTCTGGTTCTGGTGAATTCTCTCACCCTCCTGCACTTCTGACTATACCCAGTGCATGTGTGAACAAAACAAACAAACAAAAAACAAACAAATAAATAAAAAAACATGCCTCTATTAAAAAAATAATAATAAAATAAAATAAAATTCTACCGAGTAATTACATTTTTTACAACAATCAAGTTCAGCTTTGTAGAGGCCTCAACAAAAATGCATAATATTTTTCTCCTGAAGTTTCATAACGTCTTAAAATTCTTACCATGCCATATGGATGCATACAATGAAGTTGAAAAATAATAATGAGTTAACAAGGAAAGAAGTACTCAACACTGAAGTTGCCAATATTAAATAAATATACTGAATCTTATAACTTTCTTGTAACAATAAAGATCTCATTCAGCCTTCACTTATTTATTTATTTAAAATCTGAAAAGCGAAGAGAATAAGCTAGCTCAAACTATTAGCAATGATGGGAAAGAAGAATAGCAACACGGTGAAAGAACTTACAACGAAGTTTTTTAGGATCCTTATGGTCCTTTTCTTTATCATGCTTTTCTATTCCAGGTGAATCTGGTGTCTCCTCTTCAATTGCTTCATCACTTTCTGTGGTCTATTGGTCAGAGATTTCCCAAACACCTATTACTTTTTATATTACTTTAGATGTACTAGCAAAATTCTCAGAATGATCAATGATTGCCTTCTAGATGATTTTGGGAACCAATTAGTATATATAATATGTATAGTTTACATATACTTGATTAATATTAATAAAATATTATTTCCCCCCAGAAAGCACAAATTCTGATATTTAAAAAAATACTGATAACTCACAGGATAATGGGTTTACAGTGATAATAGTTTTATCTTGTCTCATTCTGATCAACAGTATATAAGTAATAGTAACAACAGTTAAAAGGTCAGGGTGTAGTCTATGAAGACAGAACAAGATGAAGCTACATTCTGTAACAATATTAAAACATGAAGCTAACTGGCCAATGGCACATTTATTTGCACAACAAATCTTTTTAAATGGCACTTTGTATTAATCACTATTCAGAGAGTGATGGATGTCTAGAAATCCTAGAACTCATCTACAGCATAAGCAATGTCACCTTTACAAGTTAAAAAACTGGAGTCTGGGAACCGTGTCCACCAAAAAGTACTACTTTCAACTCATTTAGTCATTGAATAAAAATTCTGTACTAGGGGAAGTTTGACTGTTCCTTCCTCTGAACTATTTTTTAGATCAATGCCTCATGTGAAAATTATTTAAAACCCATGGTAGTGAACATCCTATAAATGAGAATGTTAAATCATTTGTTATCTCCTGCAAATTGTTAAATTGACTGTTGTATTTCCCACCTCTGTCAAAATACATATATTAAAAAAATTCTTTCACATCTAAATAGGAAACTACATAGGCTATAAACAAATAGAAAGTCAAAAATAGTAACAACTTTGAAGTTAAAGAATTACCCTAGTCAAATACTTACCTGATTATTGATAGTGCTACTAAGAACTTTAAACCAATCATTAATAACCGTGTCATTGTCAGACTGAATTAGCAATTCCGTCCCTTGCCGAGTTTTCAGCTTTAGGGAAAAAAGGAGAAAAAAACTATTTGTAGTTGGTTGGTCCTTTCAAAATAAATAAATGAACATATTTAGCTCAAGGTTTACAAAACTCATTGTGAAATCATTAAGTAACTACAGTAAGAAGACTAGCAACCAATTTATGCATCATCTCTTCAGTTCAGAGTTTCTTACACTTGACTGAGGCAGTTAGAGGATGCACTTCTATTTTCTAGTTAGTGATTTTTTTTTCCCCCTATGAACATATGGCACTGTTTCCTAAACAACATTCTAAAACATATACCTCAAACATAGTTCCCAAAATAATATCTTTTTTTTAAAGATATTCCTCAAAAACTACATTTAAGAAATTATGTGACATTAACTTGAGTAATAGATGAAAGCTAAACAAAATTCACTCCTTCGAGAGTTCTCAGGGCTTTGCAGTGGTCTGTTAAACAGCAAAAAATACCTGATATAGGGTCATATATTACTGCAGAGGACAATAAGCAAAGTAGAATAGTTTTAATTTATTCTTTAATATTAGATTAAGTAGAAAAAGGAAACCATACATTTTATTATTGCTGAGGGAAAGGGAAGATTTGTAGAACAAAGTTTTCTAATATATAGAGTTCCAAAAATTTATACAAATGAAGTCTAGATCTTTACATCAGTGCTTTTTGCCCCTTATGACACAAACTGACTCAATGACCAATGGTGCCTTAACTAGTCACACTGAAAAACTGTTTCAAAAAAATAATCAAATTATGGTTAAGAACATAATCACACTTAGAAAAGAAATTTGTTACCTCAAATACATTCTTTTTGCTGGATTTCTCCTTTGAAGCCATTTCAATCGTTGCTCCCTTGAGGTCCACTGTGAACTCTGGTTTGGACTGATTGCTCCCAAACTTCATTTTTGAAAAAAAGAAAAATATTTATGTAAGATTCATGTTTCTGCTTGTATTCAAAAAGAGTTAAGACTAATTTTATATTATTAATAAATTAAATAGATGGTTGCCTCAAATCCTTCATGTCTTTCCATGTTACAAAATAGCAACTGCTATATTAGAAAACAGAAAAATGTCTATATGAATATATATAGTTCATAAAAAGGAAGCAAAATGGCTCAACTTCCATCAGAATAAGAAAATACAAAACAAAATCACATTAAAATCTTTTTCACCTAACTGTACAGGAAAAAAATCCAAAAATTTGATCAAAAACTATGTTGGTGAGGTCATAGAGTACTAGGCTCTCATATGCATGTAGGGGATAAAATGGAACAACTTCTGGAGAGGGAAAATTGGTAAATATGATATTTGCAAATTTATAAACACACCTATCCTTTGGTTTAGCAATTCTGTTTTTCTTTTTTAATTTAGCCCAGAGTATACATGGCATTCAATGATGTGTCCAAAGAGGTAAAACAATATTCTTTCATGTGTACAAATATCTGGCAGTTACTTTCCTACCCAATAGGCATTTCTCTAAGCCTGATATTGTGCTTCCTTGAGTTATTCTGTTATCAACTATTTATATTATCAACTAACAATAATTTGTAAGGACAGAAAACTCTAAGTCCCATGTTCTTTTATTCACCAATTATTAGAAATTATGACTAGAGCCAGATGCCATAAAGTCTCAGCAATTTAACAAGGAAATTTTTTATTAAAATAGGAAGATAGTTGACATGGGTGGTCCGAGAATAGATAGTACTTAACTATTACATTTTGTTAACTAGATAAGGAAAAACTAACAAATAGCAGAAAATATGTTAAACACTTTTTCTGTATCCTGTCATCAGCTTAAATTTTTGTTTAGTTTGTTAAGAGTAGAATATACCATTCCCATGTTATAAAAGATTTGCAGATTTTGAAGGGTTTTTGTTTGTTTTTTTAAACATTTATTTTTGTGTATTTATGCATACAAGAATTGGGGTGTAGCCTAGAGGTGCAGGGGTGGGGGGTTGGTGTGAGAGGTCCCTGTCTTCACCAGAGACATGGCATGGAGTGCTAGTAAAAATGCATTTAACATGGTTGGCAAAAATTTGTGTTGTTATTCATTTTAAAAATCTATTACCCCTTCCCATACTATAATCATCCCTCCAATGTATTCATGGCAAAGAAAATAAAATTTTCCTGGCAACAGGCATGCAGCAAGAACACATACATTGATAGTTAAATAAGGATTAGATTTTACATATGCAACTGCAGGTGGACAACTGAAAGAATTTTTCCAAGGTGAAAGCAAAAGTCTGAGTCCTGCAGGCAGAATGACTTGATGGAAAAGGGAAGAGAAAGACAGTGTCATAATGCACAATGCCACAGAATAGAAAAGCACAATGGCACCAGAAGGACAAAAATACAATTCTACAAGCAGACACACACAATGCAAAGCTCAACTTTGAAATTATTTTCAAAGGTCCTAGAATTTATCTCAGAATATTCTGAATTCATTACATAAATTCATTTTTATTTTTAAGATGAATGCTTTATACAACATACATTCCACAACTTGGTTGGCTTAGTCTCTACTCACAACAAAAGACAAGGAACAATGGAAAGGCATCACACCCAGCCCTCTGCCGTCTTACTCAGTTCCCTGTGACCTGCTGGGCAATGTACTCTGGTATCCTTTTCTAAGTCCTCTCTGGAGGACTGGCTGGCTCTTGCCTTCCCCTCTTCTAGGATAGTGATTCTCAATCAGAAACAACTTTGTTCCCAGGTGACATATGGCAATGTCTGGAGACATTTTAAGATGTCATAATTGCAGGTAAAGGTACTACTAACTACCATAGAACACATAGGACAGTCTCTACAACAAAGAATTATCTGGTAAAAAAAAAAGGGGGGGGGGTGGATTATTAGAAAATTCAAAGCACATATAAATGAATTTGAATACTTGTGGGGTGGTTTTACTCAAGGAATATGATGAATGAATCTCAGAGGGAACAAAATGTCTTTGTATTGTAACTGTGCATTTGTTGGTCTTCCCTACTACAATGTGAGCTATGGAGACAGGGACCATGTCATTTACTTCTAAACCCCCAAGCTTAACACACTGCCCAGAACACAGCAGGCTTGTGTGTGTGTTGAACAAATGAGGTGAAACAAGTAAGGAAAAAACAAGTATAAATGATGTTACTGATGTAACAACAATTCAGTGAATAACTAGTATTTTCCAGAAAGCAACTGGACTGTATCTACCATAAAGGAGAAGGAAAGACTCACTGGATTTTTAGATGATAAAGCATCCATGTAAAATTTACCTTACACAGAGGATTTGCAAGTAGCATATGAACATTTTCATTTATTCAACTTTATCCAAGGAACCAAAAATAAATACAAAGCATGAATGATCTCTAAAAACACAGAACTTCAGGGCCTCCCCGGTGGCGCAGCGGTTGAGCGCTGGGTTGCGAAACTGCCCACGACCTCTGTGGCACCAGTTCGATCCCCGGCTGCTCCCCGGCCACCGAAGGAGGGTCCCACATGGCGCGCAGACCTCTCCTGCCGCCCGCTGCTCCCCTCAGCAGTGTACTTCGGTCCTTCTGCCTGTTCTGCTCCCTGCTCTGACTCTGGTGAATTCTCTCACCCTCTTGCACTTCTGACTGTACCCAGTGATTGTATAAATAAATAAATAAAAATAAATAAATCTTTAAAAAAAAAAAAAAAACAACACAGAACTTCAAATAGTATGACTGGTTTTTCTCAGCAATCTATCAGTGAGTATAAGGAGTATATAAACCCAGGAAATGAGTATAAAATCTGAACTATTTCTTTAAGTGGTTCTTATTACAGATTTTTATACTAATTGTAAATCAAATTTTGAAAGAACCATATCTCTATAATGTGGACCATCCAAACTCAACTGAAAGAAAAGCAATTTCTTCTAATATTAAATAAGAAAGTTGGCTTTGCTAAAGAGTGACTTCTAACTAGCATCTTCCTAAATGGCACAGGTAATTTTCATGATAGGTGATTGTCTTTTTGGCTTATATTCTAACCTTAGAATCTCATCTTCAGGTAATGAGTGATTTCAGTGTAAAAACAGGATACATTTTACTTACAATAGACCTAGTTGGTGAATGTGTAGAGAAACAAAGCGAGATTTCTTTAAAATTCTTTGGAATAATCCTAACTATAAAGTTAATTAAGAAGTAATTGCAATATTTCATTAATTTTTATTATTTATGAATGCTTTATATGCCAAAAGATATGCTACATACACTTTTCCCCCCTTACTTTTACTTATTAGTTTTCATTCCCTTAATTTGTGTTACATGTGGGAAGTAAAAAGCAAGGTTGTCCAAGATTTTAAAATCTGCCTTAAAATAAAAATTGAGGATTGAATACCAAGCATCTTATCATATCCTGTGTATGATATGTTTAAGGCTAAAAACAGTGTGACTAAATTATTTAATTATATCAACCTGAAATGATGGTGATAATACATATTGTATTATCAGTATTAATAAAATTTCATTTAAAGGCAAAAATTCAAAAGAATGAATACCTAAAATTAAAAATGCATTAAGAATTCTATGATTTCTTTCAGGAATTTAGAAAACCTAAATAACGGACCAGGAAAAAGACTAATTATAATAAAGTAAAAATCAAAATCAACAAGCAACTACAAAACAGAGACACACTATGAGGGGGGAGGGAGGGAATAGGATCAAAACAAGGGTGATGGGAATTGTATGGGGACTATAACCAAGATGGAAATGCATACATTGTGCAAAAATGAAAAATGATGTAAAAAATATATAAAATTAAAAAATAATAATTCTATGATTTCAAAATTGGCTCGCTCAGTGAATTTTATGTTTCCATTGTTATAACATGGTAATACATAACACAACTTTAGCTAATGAATAGATATACTTCACTCTCAAAAAAAAAAAAAAGAATTACCTTCCTCTGTTTGCAACGGGTTAGTTTTAATTATGAATTCTGAACTGTGTAAAAACTTGGAGAGTGAAAAGTTTAAATAAAATGCAAGAAGTGTATTAATGATTATGTGTCACAGTATTCATATAACATCTTTTAAGTTTTAAAAATGCTTTCATTTTCTTCAAAACACAAACAATTCGCTTACCTAAATTATATATCACTTACCACACAATTCTCTCTACTTGTTTTAGCTGTACATACAACAGCTTCCAATCTTTAAGTATCAATAACTACGAAATAACCATTATCCAGTTTTCTTCAGATACTTTTTTTATCATTTATTAACTTTGTTTCTCCATTCCTTTTCTATAATTTTCTTCAAATTTTTTTAAGGACTTATTTTACTTATTTATGCATACCAGAACTGGGATATAGGCCTGAGAAGTGAGGGGGGCGGGGTGAGAGGATTCACCAGAGACAGAGTGGGGAGCAGAGCAGGTGGATCTACTGATATACACTGTTAAGGGGAGCAGCAGGAGAGACAGGAGAGGTCTGCTGTGCCACATGGGTTAGCTCCCTGGCCTGGGACTGAACTCATGCCACAGTGGCTACGGATAGCTTGATAGTGCTGAGACTTAACCCCTTGCACCAGCAAGAAGGCCCTCTTCATTCAATTTTATTTTTTTTGTTTTTTTTTGTTTTTTTTTTTTTTTTTTTTTGTTTTTTAAATAGAGGCATGTTTTATTTATTTGTTTGTTTGTTTGTTCGTTTATACATGCACTGGGTACAGTCAGAAGCATGGGAGGGTGAGAGAATTCACCAGAGCCAGAGGAGGAAGCAGAGCAGGCAGAAGGACCGAAGTACACTGCTGAGGGGAGCAGAGGGCGGCAGGAGAGGTCTGCACGCCATGTGGGACCCTCCTCCGGTGGCTGGGGAGCAGCCGGGGATCGAACCGTCGCGGCAGAGGCCGCGGGCAGCCTCGCAACCCAGCGCTCAACCTCTGCGCCACCGGGGAAGCCCTCTTCATTCAATTTTAAATAAAAATTGAAGCACAAGTAGGAAGGAAAAATAAAACCATCACAGAAATGCATTAACACAAACAAAAAAATACCACATGCTTTACCTCAGGAGAAAAGGGATAAAGATTGACTTTATGGTAATACAAACCAAAGCCTCAATTTTTACTATGGAAAATATAGGTCAGTTCTACTGTTCTAGTTGAACAGAGAGTAAATCAAAGAATAAGTGAAGCAAACAGAAGAATCCTTCTAAAATGTTCATATTTAGGTTCAATCCAGGCCATTATCATAGTATTGAGGAATAACATGTTCTGTGATGCTCCTCATTCAGAACAATGTTACATGGCTGCATTATAAATATAGAGGACTAAAACATGTTTGAATTTTATAAGTGAACTTCTTTTTCATCAAGCATAAGTCCCACAAGTTTAAAGAAACTAAGTCATTATAAGAAAATATTAAGTTAGACTATAAAACTGGTCTGAAGACATCAGATTAATTTTATTTAAACACTGATATAAAATTCTTTGGGAATATCTGGAAAATGGATTCTGAAGCTAAAATGCTATACAGATCTGCCACTTACTAGAAACAGACTTGAGCAAGTTAAGTGTTTGCTACCTCATTTTATCATCTAAAACAGGAGAAGGGATGATAAACATCAGGTATTCAAGAGTTAGGGAAACAGTATCTGACACATATTAAAAATTCAAAAAGTGTTAGGTATTATGTCACAAATTATCATTTTTAGTGCTTAAGGAGTAATGATAATAAACACACAAAAATACGAAAATACCACAAGTTACAGATAAAACAGAATTTGTTGATTTTTAGTAATTAATGAGGCTTTCCTAATTTTAAGCCTCTTCTTTCTTTTATGACTCAAAATGTACCTTTACTAATCTTCAACCTTCAGCTACTTTTATGTGAATACTAGCCATAGCTATGGCTAGTATTCAAGGACTATGGAAAACTTTGTGAAATGAAGGTACAATACCATCCATAGAATTCAAATGTATAAAGTCTCCAAAGAAAAGAAATACTTACCCAACTTGTGCTACTTCCTTGAGTTTTGGTAAAGAGTAAAGATGAACCCTGTAACACGGCCCAAGAAGACAACCAGTTCTTTCTGAAATTATAAAGACAACCAATTAAAGCTCAACGATCCAATTTTTCTAACCAAACTTTTAAAGTTTAAACTTACTTTTTTTTCTTAAGGACTTTATAACTATTAATTCTTATCCCTTTTTTAAAGATTTATTTATTTATGCATGGCAGAACTCGGTGTAGGCCAGAGGTACGGGGGGTGAGAGGATTCACCAGAGAGAGTGGGGAGCAGAACAGGCAGACTGACTGAAATACACTGCGAAGCAGAGCAGTGGGTGAGACAGGAAAGGTCTACCGCGCCATATGTGGGTTAGCTCCCTGGCCAGGATCGAACTTGGGCAGTAGCAATAACAGTGCTGAGACTTAACCCCTATGCCACCAAGGAGGCCCCAAAAGTTAAAACTTACTTTGTTAGCTTTAATAACCTGACCAATATAATAACTAAATATAACCAATACTTGTTGGTTCTCTCCCTTCCCCTAATAAGGTTGTGCTAGGTAAGTGGTAGATATCAGATAATTACAAGTACACAATGTATTATATTCTGTTTGACCACTGAGATTATTACCACCAACATGAGATTTAAAAATTCTGATTCTAAATAACCATAACATATATATATATATATATATATATATATATATATCAAAACTCTGAATGCAGAAATTTATAAAGTTAAAGGCACCTATTTCTTCTCCTTCAATCCACCTCCAGAGGTAACCAGTGTTAGGTGTTTGCTGTATTATGGGGCTCTAAAAGAAACTGTCCACTCTATATCCCTATCTCCAGATGTACAGGCAAGACCTACGGTCAGTATGCACTTAGCAATGATCCCACAGAGAACTCTAAAATTGGTCAATATTACACCTTGGCCAGAGTGCATTTGACTTATTATTTTCTCTATTAGAAACTTTGTTTTAAATGTTCCTTTCTCACTGATGTTGTAAATTACTTGAAGGAAGAAACAGTGTTTTATTTTTGTACCTACCACAGACCTAGCAAAGTACTTTTCAAATAGCAGGTAGAGATCAGTATTTGCAAATAGGAAAATATATTAATTATCTTTAAAGGAAATTCAACTGCTAAAAGGCTAAAATGAATGTCAAATCTGCCCCTTATAAGAATTTATTAAGGCTTCCTTATCCAAAAGTAGATTTGCTCTCCATTTTACCAATGTAGAATATCAATTAAGAACTACTTAATAATTTACCCAAAGGACACAGAAACATTAATTCCAAAGAGCACCTGCACCCCTATGTTTATAGCAGCACAATTTACAATAGCTACACTTTGGAAACAATCCAAATGCCCAAAAATAGATGACTGGATCAAGAAGATGTGGTACATATACACCATGGAATATTACTCAGCATTCAAAAAAGATAAACACATGCAATTTGCAGCAACATGGATGGCGCTGGAAGGGATCATGCTCAGTGAAATAAGCCAGAAAGAAAAAGAAAAATACCGGATGGTCTCACTCATAGCAGTAATCTAGAAAACTTAAATAAGGGACCAGGAAAATGAATAACTATAAGAAAGTGAAAATCAAAATCAACAAACAACTATGAACCAGAGACACACTTTGGGGGGAGGGCGGGAAAAGGAGGGTTGGGGTCAAAATCAGGGGGTTGCAAGTGTATGGGGAATATAAAAATAAAAAAAAAAGGAAGGAAATTCTAACACATGATGTACCTTCTAACATGAACTTTAGGCATCAGTGTAAGTTAGTCATAAGGCACAAATATTAAAATAGATCCCTCATTTATGAGTTACTTAGAGTTGTCAAATTCATGAAACCAAAAAGTAGGATGATGGTTGCCAGGGGCTGAGGGGAGGAAGGAATGAATTATTGCTTAATGAGTATGGAGTTTCAGTTTTTTGAGAAGAGAAGAGAAAACTCTGGAGATGGATGGTGGCCGTTATGGTTTTACAGAAATGCATATGTAATTACTGCCACTGGGCTGTAAACTCTAAATTGGTTAAAGTAGTAAATTACATGTTACATATCTGTTGCACAATAAAAAACAAGTATGTTTGTCACAAAAAAAAAAAAAAGAACTACTTAAAAGACCTAATTATCTATTTAGACCTATTTATTATTTTATGTCTACTTCAACTTCATGGATTCAGAGATGTGAAATAAAGTTTACTGAGATTCTATTTTTCTTTTTTTGACTTTGCTTATGGTTAGGTGAATGGCTAGTCCTAATGAGAATATCTTCATTGCAGCTTTATTTATAGCAGTTTATCATTTTAAAGTATCCATTTTTGTAATGCTTAATGGTTTGTGCATGAATAAATTGGGTTTGCTATTAAGATCATTATTCTTACTTTACTTTTTATACCTTTGAACATGCTTCTTTGTTTGCTTGGTTTTTTAAATTTTTCTGAATCATTTTTTAGATGTCTCCTATTTAACTGGGTTTTATTTTATGCCTCAGTTTGAGCATGTTTTTTTTCTTTCAATTGCATTTAACATTTATTGATATTGATAAGTAGATATGTTTGGTGTTTGTTCTGCTTGTCAGTTTGTTATTTTTTTTGGTTTTGATCTCAAAGTATTTTTGAAGGACATTTTCATTTGTGAGTTTATTTGATACTCTTAATCTTTTATTTCTTTAGATACTATCTATTATACTTTCCTCTGAAAGAAGCTAAGATTTGTACATTTCTACCTTCAATAAACTTGAGTTTAATTTTCAAAATCGGAAAAATTGCAAACTAAATGTGTATCCTCAGATACACACTGACTATTGAAGAACGAATGTTTGAAAACTAAATTAATGATAGTTGTCTGAATGTCTGAGGCATGTGAGTCATTTGTGTGACTTAGTCACAAGCAGAGAAGTCACTTTTTTCATGGAACCCAATGTTTTTCCCCCAAAAATGACTGACACGCTATGGTTATTTTGATTTGACTGTTTAACAGGTAGACATTATCTCAAAAATAAAAGTGAGTTTGACACTTCACTGAAATGATAGTATTTATTGACAAAATTTAAAGCTTTCAAATGGAAAACAGAATTTTGAAAAACTTGTTTTGTCTGCTACATAATGAGGCAAATAATTTTCTAATAATGGTCTTTCTGATATTACTGGTTTGTGATTCTTTGATATTATAAAATGTATCAACATGTAAAAAGTTAACAAATTCATTGAACCAGTATTTTCCCAAAAACCTACATGATGCTACAAAATTATGCCTGGGTACAGTTATTCAAAATACAACATAAACACATGCATTTTAATGTAACTGAGTATGAAAGTTTATTGACAATTTTTCAGAGCCTTCATTGCAACCTCTGCAATTTGTAGAGGTTGGTATAGCAGAAAAATGTGCACAATTATTTGAAAGGTTATTAAAATAGCCCTCCTTCTTTTCCAACTTTATCTATGTAAGGGAAGATATTCTTCATAAGCTAACCAAAAAAAAAGGTCACAACAGAGATGAGAATCCAGCTTTCTTCCATTAAGCTAAATTTTAAAAATTTATAACATTTTTAAAAGTCACACTTTTCATGAATTGCTTTTATATTAGAAAATATGGGGGGTTCATCATAAAAATATTATTTATATTAACCAGTTAAATACTATTTATATTAACCAGTTAATTTAATTTTAAAAAAAAAATTTTTTAAGATTTATTTGTTTGTTTGTTTATTTATTTATACAAGCACTGGGTAGTCAGAAGCAAAGGAGGGTGAGGGAATTTACCAGAGCCAGAGGGGAGAGCAGAGAAGGCAGACTGATGAAGTACATTGCTAAGGGGAGCAGCAGGCGGCAGGAGAGGTCTGCGCGCCATGTGGGACCCTTGCCCGGCGGCCGGGGATCGAAACAGCGCTGCAGAAGCTGCCGGCAGCTTCGCAACCCAGCGCTCAACCGCTGTGCCACCGGGGAGGCTCATAACCAGTTAATTTTAAAACAATAAATATTCTTAAGCTTTCTGTTTTAATTTCTTACAGTAAATATCTATAAACTGTATATAGACAAAAATTCTTTGGAGTAATCACTAACTTAAGAGTTTAAATATTCTTAGATAAAAATATTTGAAATATACTAATATACAGTGTATTAAAGACTTTTGGACCTGTTCTGCATAATAAAGTTGAGGATGATGAAATGGAGGGCATTTTTAGGAAAACAAATCACCAAAAACATTACAAAAGATGTAGTAAATCCAAGACTAATTACCAAAGCAAAAACAACAACAAAAATAGAAAAAAGCAGCCAAAGAAATATCTGAATCTATACCCAAAAGGGAACAAGAAATAGACCCCATTCACATGTAACATCTACCACCTGTCAAAGGCAGTTTAATTCAAGCAAATCTAAGAATCTGACAAAAACAGTTCAATTAAAGTAAATTTAAAAATCTGACAAAAACAATTCAATAAAATAAAATCAAAGAGACTAAATGTAAATTTTTAACTCAAACAGATTGATCTCATTTTGACTATAAAATCATGTATTTTTAATAATTTTTTAAAATGCAGGAAAATGCAGCTTTTTTAGAGTTAATTTTTTTAATTCATTATGCAATACTACACATTATCCAAAAAAGTCAATAACCCAATAGTAGGAGAGTACAAACTGACAATTCAACAAGAAATACAAACAGCTTTTAATACTCTGACTAAACAGAAATTCAAATAAAAGTACCATTTTCTCCCTAATCTCTATTAGCAATGATCAAAGAATTTGACGACATATTGTATTGGCAATGCTGTAGAAAAATCCACAACTAATTGAGATATGAAATGATTTGATTCCTTAAGAGCACAATTTAGAATATTCTATCAAAATGCCCATTATATATGGCCTAGAAATTCTATTTTGTAAACTTTATTCTACAGGCATATTTACATACTTGCAAAATGAACTATGCAAGATAATAAATATTGTTTGTAAAAGCAAACAAATATAAACACTGAAGCATCTACCAATGGACAGGCTTGCTACAAATGAACATTGATTAAATAAACTATGATCTAGCCACATAATATGTAACTATGTAACAGTTAAAAAAGGGGGACCTCCCGGGTGGTGCAGGGGTTAAAGTCTCAGCGCTATCAAGCTATCTTCAACCACTTCAACATGAGTTCGATCCCTGGCCAGCGAGCTAACCCATATGGTGCGCAGACCTCTCCTATCTTGCCCACTGCTCCCCTTAGCAGTGAATTTCAGTAGATCTACCTATTCTGCTCCCCACTTTGTCTCTGGTGAATCCTCTCACCCCCTGCACCTCTGGCCTACACCCCAGTTCTTGTATGCATAAATATAATTTTTTTAAAAATGACATAGCATCTTTAATACAATAAAACAGAACCACCTCTAAGATAAACTGTTAAAATACTGTGTTTAAAAAAAATTAACTATGTACACAGAAACACACACAAATATATTTTATCTCTAGAGGAAATCATTAGATCTCACTAGACTTTATTGGTTGCCTCTTGGGAAGGAGAAATAATGGCTGGGTGATTACTGATATATGACAAAAAATTTGTGCACCTTTGTTTTTTACTATGTGCATTTACTACTTATTTTTAAAAGTTTTTTTTTAATAAAGTTGATTCTTGCTCAGCCTCCTCTGCCTTACAACCTCTAAGTTTTATACTGCCTTAAGAAATATGCCAAGACACAGAAAAATATTTATGACAATCCTACATATATTTTATTAGAAAATACATTATCTAAAATGGCTATGAATCTTTTAATCTTCTCTACTAGATTATAGTAACAGTTTTTTACTTATTTCAATCACAGATAACACATATCAAAACCTTAAAAATGTATGTACTTACCGAACCTTTTTCCCATTTTCAGTTATTTTTGTTACATTTAATAATCCGTATTTCTCTTGACCCTATGGAATAGAGTAATACTATTTATGCACCATTCATACAGACAATGAGATCCAAGTCCTTACATCTGATTCCATCAAAATGATACGGTACTCTAAAAATCAGCTTAAAAGATTAATGTGTAAGTAATCTGTTTGGTTCTAGACTACTTTAAAATTACAATTTTCTAATACCCTTGTAAAGTTATTTTCAGTAATTTTATAATCAGACATTTCTTCTCAAGTCACGGCAGCTATTCATTAGATACTTTGCTACCCAATTAATTTCCACATAAATGCTGCAAGTTAGCACAAGAAACACCACCACCACCAAAAAAAAAAAAAGAAGAATTGTTTACTTTGATGTTGTTGTATAATAATAATAGTCTCAAAATTATTTAAGAATTATTTAAGAATGTACATTCTACTTTGTCAGAATGTAAAAATAACTAGGCAGAACAAATGCAGTGACTACATTTAATAAATTACTATGTGTAGAAATGGCCTTAATGTGGCATAAAAAATTCAGTATGTGCTTCATTAAAGATATCAGATGGTAAATTTGGCTCTGGACAAACTAGATCTATTAGCCAGCTGATGTCAAAAATAATGACAAATCGGGCCTCCCTGGTGGCACAAGGGGTTAAGACTCAACCTACGAAGCTGACCGCAGCCACTGCAAAACGAGTTCAATCCCCAGCCAGGGAGCTACCCACATGGTGCAGCAGACCTCTCCTGTCTCGCGCACTGCTTCCCTCAGCAGTATATTTCAGTCAGTCTGCCTATTCTGGTCCCCACTCTGTCACTGGTGAATCATCTCACCCTCCACACCTCTGGCCTGTACCCCAGTTCTTGTATGCATAAATAAATAAATCTTTAAAAAAAAATAGTGACACATCTTTACCATCAAACCAACGAAAGCAAAAGCTACCATGCTACAGTTAAATGTTATCTTAAAATTCTTCCAGGTGGAACTAACAACTCATTTTCTGTTTTAGTTTCCTATATTCAAGTGAATTTAATCAAAATGAGTTGATGCCTAGAATAATAATCAACATTAGTAAACCCTTTATCTATGACAGAGCAGTCAATTTTACTTCAATTGAAACACACACAACACAGACACACACAAATTTCCAATTCAGAATTTGCTACTGATTATTTAACTTCTACCTCAACTATTTTCTCAACATACTTTAATTAGAAAAAGTTAACTTTTCCTGTGTCAGAGAAAAATATTGAATATTTTCTTGATGATGTCTAAAAGATAATATCTGAAGGTTCTGCCTGGGCTGATAGAAATTCACATTATAGACAAAGATGAATTTTTTGTGTGTACCCAGAACTCTGGGAATACCCATATGAAGTGTTACCAAAATTTTTCCATAAAGTGTAAGTTAGATCTCCTAAGATATGCACATTTTGATACTTTTCATAAAGGCTCTTGGCTGCCTCTCAACAAAATTATGGACACTTACATGCACAGAATGTTAAATAAGAACATTTCCAGTTAATTTGCAGAAGCACAGGAGAGGAAAATCTTTCAGTGATATAGGAACTAAGTAACAACATTAAGAGGATGGGTACTGACTATGTGAACTAGGGAACACAGAAATTAGAATAGAGGTAGAAATTTTAAAAATGCCAAGTGAGAGCTAAACAGGGTCAAAAAGTAGCGGTAGCAAGGAAATAAATACAGGTAGAGAAAGAAGAAAACAAGAAAATCAAAGGGATAGATAGCAACAGAGACAGAGCCTATGCCTAAGAATGAGAAACACTCTAAACGAAGGTTTATCCTAGTCAGTGGATGGAGTGAAACTAATACCAAACAGTGCATCATTAAAGTAAAGGGTCCTGAACTTTCAGGAAACTCTCACAGTGATTATAAGCCAAGCACTGATGTTCTAAACACTAAGCACACTAACTCGAACATAATAAAACTGCCCACATTCAAAATGTATACATACAAAACAGTTACCATACAAAGTGATAAGTGCTATCAGAAAGCTATATATCTAACTCAACCTGGGAGAAAGAAGAGAGTCAGAGAAAGTTTTAAGGAGACTGACATTTGAGTGGAATCAGAGTGAGGAAGATGGAAAGAATAGACTGTGTAATAGCACAGAAGCTAAAGACGGCACATCGTATTTGAGGACCTTTAAGTTTCCTCAAAGTATTGAATGGGATGGGGTGGTTCAAGAAAATGGCAATGTTGCCATAATTCTAATAATTGCCATAAGAGATATTGAATGCCTAAAGTATTGCAGGGAGAAAGCTAAGAGGGATCACATTTGAAAGAGATTCAGATGACATAATTGGCAAGAACTGGATGGATGGGTAAGAGGGAAGATGTGAGGAAAACTCCTAGGCTTGAACAACTATAAACAGTGGTTATCTTAGCTTTAATGACACCTTTCTAGAGAAGCTTTCCCTGACCACTCTTAATTAGCAGATTCTCTGTCCCTCCCATTATTTACTATTTCCCCCAGTTTGTTTCCTTCATTACACTTAATGCTGCCTCGCCATTGGAAAGTACAATGGCATATTTACTATTCACTGTTTACTCCACTTGGCTGTAAATCAGGACCACATCTGTTGTATTCATCAATGTATTATAATCGGTGCCTATACATCTAGCATGTAGTTGGCATTCAGTACACATTTGCTGAAGTAATTAACCAACAAATTCACAGTGCTACTAGAAGAATATAAGAAAAAAGCAGTGAAGGAGAAAATGAAGATTTAAATTTCAAACACCAAAGTTTCTGAATTCATCATGAAAGCTGAATTATAAAGGTTTGGATATATTGGTGAGAGATTTGGCTGGGGGGGAATTCAGATAGAGTTTTATTTCATACTGATGTACTTACTCTCATTAATATGATTCAAAATTATCTGATGTTTTTGTGTTGTGTTGTATTCATTTAGTAAAATAGGCATTTTCTAATTTTGATTAACAATTACTGTAATACCAAAATCAACAGCCTATCAAAAATCCTTATTGTCAGTTAATCATGTTATAGTCATGTAATATTTCTTCTTTATAGTATAAATAAAACATGCACAATGGTTCTGTGTGGAGAAAGAACCAGTGTGCTGAAAGTTGCAGAACAGGTAAGCCCAGTGACACAAGGCAAACTAGCTGTTGCCAGGAGACAAGGAAAGGGAGGTGAAGAAATGTGAAGTTATTGTTTAATAGATACGGATTTCTTTTTGAGATGATGAAAACACTCTGAAACTAGGTAAATGTGAGTTACACACACTGTAAACATAGTAAATGTTGTATTGGTCAACAGTTAATATTATGTGAAGTTCACCTTAACTGAAATTAAAAGAATTGGAGTTATTAAAAAATTAGATATTCAAATTGTTTTTTACAAAAAGGTTTTAGAATATTAATATGAAATGAAAAAACCTAGCAAATTTGTCTACCAATGTTATTTTTAAAGAAAGTGCTGAGAAAAAGTATTGAAAAGTAACTTTCTCCAAAATGGGTAATACATTTTAATACTATAATTGGAAATACAGGGTCAAAAGCTCAAACTTCCAAATTATGTATTCTAAAACCTTATTCAGTATTCAGTAATTTTATTTATTTATTTATTTATTTTTAGAGGCTTTTTTTGTTTGTTTGTTTTGTTTTGTTTTATACATGCACTGGGTACAGTCAGAAGCGCGGGAGGGTGAGAGAATTCACCAGAGCCAGAGCGGGGAGCAGAGCAGGCAGAAGGACTGAAGTACACTGCTGAGTGGAGAAGCGGGCGGCAGGAGAGGTCTGTGCGCCATGTGGGACCCTTCTCCGGTGGCCGGGGAGCAGCCAGGGATTGAACCGGAGCCGCAGAGGCTGCGGGCAGCTTTGCAACCCAGCGCTCTACCGCTGCGCCACTGGGGAGGCCCAGTATTCAGTAATTTTAAAATGCATGTTCTCACAGGCATACTGGACAGAGTAGGTTCTTAGATGAGTCCACAAAAATCCTATTTAATACATGCGGTAGTTCTATCATAGTAAAATATACTGATTTAAGGCAGATCTTGTCCGAAGACTCTTCACCTGCATCTATGCAGGAGTCTCTTTTGTTCTTAATAAATTTGTCTGTTTCAAATGCAGAGCTTGTCTGCCTGTGTCGATGCAGGTGTCTCTTTTTCTTAATAAATCTGCCCCTTTCAAAATGTAGCTCTTTGTGGCCACCAGTATCTATGCAGGTGACTATTTCCTAATAAACCCACCCATTTAAAATGCCAAAAAAAAAAAAAATTTATATACACCATTTCAAAAAAGGATTTGAAGGGACTATAAAAAATAATGCATTTAGAAATTGAAAGTGAGAAAAAATGTCTAAAATTTACATTGAAAGATGGAATTTTAAATCTAGTTTGATTAGAAGAAATTGAATGAAAACCATGTTATATAAAAAACTACGTATTATTTTATTAACTGTCCAGAATAGGAAATCTTGTAAGATAGAAGCTGGTTGCTTCTTAGGAGTTGGTGTGATGTGGAGGTAGAGAACTGATAGCAAAGATGATTAAAATTAGGCCTCCCTGGTGGTGCAGCGGGTTGAGCACTACGCTATGAAGCTGTTCGCAGCCTCTGCAGTGCGGGTTCGATCCTGGCCAGGCACGAGGATCCCACATGGCACAGCAGACCTCTCCTGTCGTGCCCACTGCTCCCCTCAGCAGTGTATTTCGGTCCTTCTGCCTGTTCTGCTCCCTACTCTTCCTCTGGTGGGTCCTCTCACCCTCCCACGCCTCTGGCCTGTACTCCAGCTCTTGTATAAAAATAAAATCTTTAAAAAAAAAAAAAAGGTAATTAAAATTTACTATGATGACTGCACATGTCTAAATATACTAAAAACCCTTGAACTGTGTATCCTTTAAATGGGTGAATTCTATGGCATGTGAGTTAAACTGCAATAAAGCTTCTATAAAAAATCGAAACAAAAAAGAATAAAGAGATGGACAATTTGCAAAGATTTTAAGATGATATTAGGTATAATTTTCATTTGAAAATTTGTAGCTTTCTTTTTACTATCACCAAGGCTTTATACTAACCAGATTTTGGTTAGTATAAAAAGAATGAGGGGAAAAAATATCTCCTTGTATTAACTGCATACAAGCGGAAAAGACAAGCAAGACTTAGTAGAAACAGAAAATGGAGACAAGAAAGCAAAGAGTAGAGTGAGGGAAGTCAAGAAGGGCAAAAGCCTCCGTGGCAAGAGGTAGGACAGCCTTCAGGTAGGGAGGCATTCAGGGGAAGGGAAGAGGAGCATTCAGGAGGGAAAGGAACTCTGTATGTTCATGTAAAAACAAATGTTCTCAGGTAAAAACAGAGCTCTTCATTTTTTTCACCTGAAGATAAACAAAGAATGAAACAGAAGAAATATTGGTGAGGCAGTTCCTTGTAATGGCCATCAGAGGGTTCTGTGAGTCCAGGATGGTCTAGTTGTGTCAACCTACTCAGAAAATGGTTAAGTGCACAAGGAAATAATATTTTGCAAATAGTCCTTTGTAACTCCATGTGGAACATTTTCAAATTAATCTTCCTAGGTCTACTTAAATATTCCCTTCTACTGAAATGTAAACAACATACAAAAAATATTAATTTATAGAAGTTCTATATTACCTATATTTAAAATAAGTTTAAAAGGGGTTCTGCCTTTTTCTAATAAACTGATAGACAGTAGTAGTATATTAACAGTACATTAGTCATAGAGTAATTCTTGACAAAACCTTTAAAAATATGTTTACATTTATAGCTAATGTTTATGTACTCAGAACTGTGTTAAAAATGCAGAACATAAAAAGTAGAAACATAGTCTCGCCATCTATCCTAGGAATTCAAAACCTTACTAGAGAGGCAAGGAGTACATGAGGTTAATTTGGTATCATTTGATACAATAAGTAACTTGGGAGTTCAGATAAAAAAGAAATGTTATTACCCCGAGGTTAGTCTGGCAAGGTCTCCTAAAGAGTTAAGTCTTAAAAGTCAGTATAGGATTTCACCATAAATGTAGAAAAAGTCAAGGACCATTCTGGGCAAAGAGGTTGCCTACAATGGCAGATGGAAATGTGAACCATAAAGATCTGAGTAGACTGGGGATGAAGAAAGAGAAAAATGGCATCTGGAAAGCTTTGCCTCCTAAAGAAATCAGAAGTATCATAATAAGCAAGTCTACTACAGTCTCATAAAATAATGAAGTAATAATAAAAGTTTGTCTTTTAAGAAGCCTTAAAAATTTCATTTATTCATTTAACAAATACTGAACAGCAACTATACGGCACTACAATAGGTATTGGGGTTACTCCATTCCTGCTCCAATGTCTAGTGGGAAGGACAGACACTCATATAGGGTTAAAGGTTCCTGTAAGAAATAAGAAATGGAAAGAATTACTCTATTTAAAACTGGGTAAAGACAGGACTGAAATGTTTTAGTGGGCGGGGAAATGACACATGTAAGGTCTAACACATCAGGCTCCTTTAAGGAACAGAAAGAAGAGCAGTGTAGCCGAAAAAATCAAGTCAGGAAAGAAGAGGAGAACACAAGAAGTAAAAGGAAAGACTGCAGAAGCAGTCAAGAGTCACAGCGTATGTAGTCTTGCAGTCCTCATTAAAACTTTTAGTCTTCATTTTATAAGGGAAGCCATTAAAAGGAAAGAATATCAGCAAGTTACAAGACAGACTGGAGGGACGATAAATACAGAGAGGTCCAGTAAAATGCCTTTAACATTAAGACAAGAGTCAGACGAGAGCTCGTTCAGAGGTTTTTCAGTTTAGAGGAAACTTAGTTGAATTACATACGTCCAATATTCCTCTGGCATAGATGGGGCAATGTGCTTTACAGCACAGGAATAAAAAGGCATCTATAAGAAGGTGGGTATTTCTTACCTTTGGACTGTTGGTCTGAGGAAAAAAAGGGTAAAGTATATTTTGATAGTATTCATTGGATATTTTACATTTATTTTTTAAAAAATAAACAAATTATAAATTAATCATTTACAAATATAGTATGTAAATCAGTTCATCATGAAGATACCTATTTTGTACAGAGGGACTTTTAAATTCAATAAAGCCTGAGTCTTAATTTAAACCTATTTTAATTTTGAGTATGTCTCTTAAGAAACAATGAAATTTAATAAAAGCCCAAGAATTATTTAAACATTACACTTAGAGAAAATTTATTGAAGCTGATTAAAATAACTGGACTATATAATACTATATGCTGTTATCATACTAACTGTATCTTGGTGCTTTGGTGAAGAGGGAGAAGACTCATTTTCAGGAAAGCAGGGTTTTGAGGCAGTTGGAGATTCCTATAAAAAATAAGTAATGAAAAATGTTACTCTATTTCATGTAATTATATTTCTCCCTCTACTCACAGTGGGAGAGCTTAATAAGGAGGCTAAGAAGAATTTTTTCCTAGTTATTTTCCTTCTATTTTCCGTTTTGAACTAATATTGTAATGATTTTAAAATTACAGATGCCAGAGGGTTTATTAAATATGGCATGTTTTAAACTGATTAGTTAAAAATTTAAATACCTCATACAGAATTATTCAAAAGAAATGATGCATGTTGCCTTAAAATCACAATGCTGCATCAGCTTGATTTAACCATATTGAGAATAGGTAAAAGCCACACACTTGTAAATAAAAATGTAATAACTTGTTTTTGAGATGGTAGGTAGGAGGACCCAGAATTAGGCAAGGAACAGTCACAGAAATTACTTGGCAACTGCTAGAATAAGAAATTTACTTTAATGACTATGTAAGAAATTTAATTGACTTGCTATTAATATTTAAAGTAATTTAGTTAATTATTAAAAATAAGCAATTTTTTTAAAAGAAAGAAGCCCAAATTTAAAGATTAATAACTTGAAATTTTTTTAAAGTTTTCATGTCTAAATCTAAAATAGGAGCAATTCAATAACATGCATTTTTAAAGTGCATTAAAACTGTGTAATTTCTACCATAAATGCTTATGTAAGACTATTATTCATAGAGCAAAAGACTGAAAAAGATTGTTTTAGTACCAACAGCCAAGTTCCGTTCAATTTTTTTCCATTTCCCCAGATGCTTTGAATAGTTTTTTTAAAAAAAAGAGAATTAGAAAAATCATGTTTCAATACCTATTATTAACTTTCTTATATATCCAAATAATTTATTTGAACAATCATCTCCACATCTGTTTATTGGTCTACTTTCCTATAGTTATAGAACTGGATAAGGTACTGTCTATAAAACCAGGAATTGTCAAACAGCACAGTAACCCATTAATTCAACATTCACTGACTTGGGAAAGTTCTCTGATACAATTTGTAACCACAGAAACTTGGTAGCAGTGACTGTTCACAAGGAAAAACCTTGAAGGGGGCAACCTTACAAGTGAAACACCCTAGGCCTACAATGTTAAAAGACAAAATAATAAAATTCTATCAAATATATTTTTACAAAAATAATTACACTTAGTGTCCAAATCTCAAATTTAACCTCATTTAAGTTTCACCCTACAAACTCTTCACTCTAAAAGAATAACTAATATTAAAACAGTCTGGGAAAAATTTTATGAAAATAAATTATGATTTTTCATAGTATTATCAGCCCTACAGAAATAAAAACCTTATCAAATGAAGTGATTATGTATAATGGTTATATTACAAACAATAATTTTTCAATTATACATTTATTTACATCTATTTATAAATGTATGTGCACAGATATGTTAAATTTATCTATAAACAGCAGGTTTTAGTAAAAACTGTACATAGGCACAAACAAATGCCAACACATACACACACATACACACACCTAATCTTCTCCAAGATTACCTGAACATTGAATTAGGACTTATGTCACCCTATCAACATTTATTACATAATATTAACTTTCTTTGACTACATCTCAAGTTACACACACTGTGCCCCTTATCATACATTAGTCAGCTAGACTCCTCTGGTGTACTCCCTCTTACATAACTTCGAAGACTTATTTTAAAAGGGACCACATCAGGTGATAATAGAAACTTACTCAAGAAGGAAATCATCTGTAAATTCATTTTTAAAGGATAAAGTGTGAGGGAAAGACGTTTCTACCAAAAATAAATAAATCTGTCAAGAAAGTCAGATTCTTATACTCTGGAACAATTCACTGAAAAGGAAATGTATTAAGAACTTTATGCAAGTTATTGTAATATAAAATGAAAATGAATCTCAAAAAAAAGTAAAAAAGAGTACATTTTAACTCTCCATCACCAAAACAATCACCCTTAGTTGTTCCAGTGTGAAAAGTTGATTCAACAATGGTTTTTACATTTAGAGAATATTACATGCTGTTTAGGGACTTCCTAGGTAAAATGAATTGTAATCCACTTCTTTGAGCTAAATGAATTTCTCCATTAAAATCTCTAAGCAGTCCTACTTACTCAGATTTATCTCAGTGCTAATATTTTTCAGGCATTCTTCAATATCACTAACTCCAGAATCTTATTTCTTTAATATACCCTAAATATTCAACTGCATGATATCCTCACAATATATAAATTAGAAATTGTGCTACTAGTTTCATTGTGTTCTATCAGTCCATCTTATAAACATAAAATAGGTTTATCAAAATTATATGTCATCTATTAGTTTCAAATGTATAAAGGTATGCCACAGATAAGTCTACTGTGCAACAATCTTCAAAACCAAAATCCATTACAGGACATTCAATAAAATAGTATTCACCAAGATATGAGATTCAGCTGAGTAGAAATTAAGAATAAACAACTTACAAAAATCCTCAACAAAGATTCTCAAAAAGGCCTACCTTGTCATTTGTGTCCAACACAATGGTGCTATGTCTCCATTTTGTTAATACTATTGGTTCTTGTAGCCGCCTGTCCAGGCTCCTACTCTTAATTACGTCTTTCTGCTGCTGGGATGAAGCATTATACTAAAAGAAAACAAAATATACTTCACTAATAATGGAAACAAAAGTGCACTGCTGACTCTAAATGACATGTGATGTTATTAGCAAAGTCATATGGCACTAACATGGATTTTTCTGGTCTTTATTGTTTTATCTTTGACCAACATTGTGGCACAATTGAGATCACAGATTTTGATATAGAAGAGAGTCTAAGTTTCATCAACTCTAAAACAGATATAACAGAAATATCTCAGAGTTGTCATAAGGATTAAACAAAGTATAAAAAGTGACAATGCTGTAACAGTAGGTTATCAATGAATATTAGGTATAATTTATAAAATAATGGCAAACAAATTTATTTTCAAGGTTTCTTCTACTTCTGAAATCCATGAGTTCAATTTTTGGTTTAGGTTTTTTAAAAAATGCTTATACACACAATGGTACTCTCACATTTAAAGGATTTTGTTTGTTTCTCTTTATTTTTGCTTTCTCTTACAGGCCAAACATTACCAATATTTGTCTAAAATGATAAAATATTAGCAGGTCAAATGCGGAGATAGTACTAGTTCTAAAGACAGTACTAGTTCAATACCTGCTGTGTATAAAGGATAGGTAATAACTGCCAAAAGGACATATAAAATTAGAAACTTATTAAATCATGTGTTTGAACGGTCAAGTAGATCACCAAACAAAAGTATTTGAAAATTGTGAGGTTTTTAAGAGTTATAATATTTGATACTGGCAATTTTAATAAATTATAAATTATTACAGTAAAAACAAAAGAAAATTAATCTACTTTTTAAAATTTACACTCATCTCCAGAAAACAAATAACTAATTTCTACTCCCACCCCCCCATCTAAAAAATCCAGTAAATCTTACATTTTAATGATTCATTATAATGTCAATAAAATTCTATTGAGGATTTTTTTTTAAGATTTATTTATTTATTTGTTTGTTTGTTTGTTTGTTTATTTATTTGTATAAGCACTGGGTACAGTCAGAAGCGCGGGAGTGTGAGAGAATTCACCAGAGCCAGAGTGGGTTGCAGAGCAGGCAGACAGACGAAGTACAATGCTGAGGGGAGCAGCGGGCGGCAGGAGAGGTCTGTGCACTATGTGGGACCCTCCTCCGGTGGCCGGGAAGCAGCCGGGGATCGAACCGGCGCTGCAGAGGCTGCAGGCAGCTTCGCAACCCAGTGCTCAACTGCTGCACCACCGGGGAGGCCCCTATTTGGAGGATATTTTTAATATTAAAAAATCTTCTAACATCTTTTTCCACGATATGCCATTTCTTTACTTTCCAAAATGAGGCCACACTCAACCATCAAACTTCCTCCCAAAGCTGTTACTTCATTCCTCACATTAAAATTTGTTAAAGCCAGGCAATCACATATGGCCAGTTGTTTTTAACTCACTGTTGTTTAACAACAACATTCTTAAAATCTGTCACAGAAGTTCGCACAGGGATCATTTTTAGCATGAACACAGATAAAGCTTAAAGGTTACCAATAACGATGATGATGATGATGATAATAATAATACCAGAAATCTCTACATGAAAAGAAACACAACTATTGAACAGGGCTGTATTTTCCTTACAATTCAATCATCATTAGCAGTAACTAAAATGTATAGTTGTATGTAAGCTTGTGTATAAATTTTTATGGATACCTACTCTAGATTTTGAGTTTTAGAACTACTATAGTTGCTTAATAGAAAAATAAACGCAAAACAAAGGAATAGGTAAAATTAAACCAAAACAAACACTAAAAATCTGACTGCAGAAATGAGGATACCAGAGGGGATGGGAGAAAAGGAGACAAGAACAAGGGGACGCAAGGGACTATGGTGGAGGATCAAGTGTGCCTTAGCAGTAGGCGTGGCGTGGTGACATATATCTGAAGAGATGTGAACCTATACCTCTGAATCATAGAGTGTTGTAAAGCAATGTGGCCTCAATTGAAAAAAAAGAAAAAAGAAAAAAACGAAATGTCTTTTCATGTATTTATTTCAAGTACTTCCTCCCCTGTGTAGAGCTTAGTCACTTATTTTGCCTTTTTTTAAAACTGGGTTATCTTTCTTCTAATACAGAAAGAACTAAAAAGTTCCTTATACATTTTTAGATTCTAAACCTCCACAAGCTATGTAAGTGGACTATATCTTTCTCTAGTCTGCGGCTCATTGTCTCTCCTTTGTATATGGCATCTTTTATATTACAAGGTGTTTTATTTAATTTTGATATAGTCACATCTGTCAATTTTTCCTTTTACAGTTTTTCCTTATAGTTGTGTTTTTAAAAACCTACCACTGACTCAAAGGTATTTTGTGATACATCCTTCACAACAGTATTTAAAATCTTGTTTATTACATTTATACCTCTAATCTACCTAGATTAATTATTAAGTATGACCTGAGGTCAAGATCTACATAATTTCATTTTTTTTCATGGACAGAACCAATCATCTTGGCAATGTATCTGTATAGCCCCCACTTATTAAACCATCGATTTGGAATGCTACACCTGAGCTTTCTGTTTCACTGGTCTGTTCCTCTATACCTTTGCCCTTTCTATTTCATCTTAAATACCTGGGCAGGAAACCCATCCTTCATAGCTCCCCACCCCCTCTGGAATATTTTGGTTCTTCATAGATCATTTTCTGCAAATAAAATTTAGCATCAGTTCCAAAAAAAATGGAGGTGCAGTGAATTTATTTTTTATATTAATAAAGTTAAGCCTCCCAATTCAATAACATAAAGGTAATGCACCACTTATCCAATTCTGCTATGACATTTTCCTAAAATCCAATGGACCTTTAATATGTATATTCTTAGTTATAACCCTCTTGTTGCTGTTGCTCCTAATGGAAAGAGGATCTTTATTCCTATCACATTTTCAAACTATCACATTTTTACCAGAGAAATGGGTTGTTTTTATGTTGATCTTATATCTAGATTAATTATTACTTATTTATTTATTGCATAGAAGAACTGGCATGTAGGCCAGAGGTGGGGGGAGGAGGGATTCACCAGCAACAGAGAGCAATATCAAAAACTATATTTTTTTTTGTTTTTAATTCTTATTTCTTTTATTATTTCATTTTTTAATAGAGGCAGTAACAGAAAAGCTATAATCAAGTTCCTAACTCTAATGTGAAGGCTTCTGCAGTATCACCATGAAGTATGATACTACAATTATTTGATAAATAATCTTTAGCATGATGTAATATAGCATTACATTTAGTATGATTTTCTTGTGAAGCATACAGCTAGGTCATGGCTTTTTATCCATTCTCAGAATCTTTTAACAGGCATGTTAGTATTTAAGACTACAATCTTATTGTTTTCTGTTAACCATTTCCCCTTCCTATGGGATGTATGAGCAACTTTTAAACATATTCTATTTTATCTAGTTTCTTGAATCTATTTGTAAGAAGCTCTTTTAGTATTTGTCCTAGGGGTTACCATTTATATACTTAATTTATCACTATCTATATACAACAGGTCATACAATTTCACGGTGACATTGAAAAAGGAAAAAAATATCCCAGTCAACTTTGAACAGGATGTTATACAAGGAGCTGTTTCTGTGATGTCATTTTGCTTTAAATTAAAATTTGCAAGAATCTATCGAAGCTGTTAAGTGAGCACTTACTGTACTAATATGAACACTCTACTACTACAAATGCAGAAATCTTACCAACAATTTCATCTCTTTACTCTTCCCTCTTTTGGAATAGAGTTGTCATCTCCACATATGAGTACTTAAGTCTTCAGCAATGTTTTAATTTTTGTTTTGAATCTCAAACATCATTTTTAAAACTAAGGACAAAAGTTTCCTCAGATATTCACCTTTCTGTTGTACTTCTTCAATCCTGATGTGTCAATTTTTCTTAAGCTATCATTTCTCTTCAGTTTGAAGGACTTCCTCTAGCAATTCTCTGATAACAACATTACTAGTGATAAATCTTAGCGTACTTTCATCTGAAAAATACCTTTATTATATTTACATTCTTGAAGGATGATTTTGTTGGATGTACAATTAAAGGATGACAGTTGGTACTTTTCTCACCATTTGAAAATATTATTATACCACACCCAGCTTCATGGTTTCTGATAAAACACTCACTGCCATTCAAATCATTATTACCCTATAGATAATAGGCTAAAAAATATATTATTGAGCTGCTTTGAAGATTCTGGATGTGGATGGGGGAATCTTTAGTTTTCAGAAATAGCATTACGATATGTCTGGAGGTGAACTTCTTTGGGTCTATCTTGTTTACTCAAATTCTTGAATTTGGTTTTATTTAAAAAAATTACCAAATTTGGACGTTTTCAAATGTTACTTCCTCAAATATTTTTCAGTCTCATTCGCTCCTCTCTTTCTGGAACTTGAATAAAATAACTGCTAGCATTTTTGTATTTTCCCACAGATCTTTCAGTTTCTGGTCATTTTGTCACATGAATGGACTCAGGGCAGAACAATACACCCTCATACACAGTGGGAGTCCACTATGAAGGCATAAAGCAAAAAGCACTAATAAAGGAGTGGGCAAAGAATGGATCCAATGATGCAAGCTACCTTACTAGATGATCTAATCTTTTACTGTTTGATGGCTTTTAAGACTCTCCCTAAATTGAATTTTGGAAAAACCAGCAAAACTTCGGCATCATGTGATTTTATCTATACCAGGTGGTATTCAAAGCGTATTTTCCAGTTAAACATTCACGTCTTCCTTCAGTTTTAGAAATTGTATTTTTAAAATAGAATTTCCCTACTATTTCTCTTCTGGAATTTCTAGTATATGAATTTAAGAAGCTTTCCATCAATCTTCCATGTCTTCTATGTTATAATACTTGTTATCTTCCTATCCTGTCTATAGTCTGTTATCCACAACACTTCATATTTTAATGACTGTATTTTTCATGTCCAATATTTCTAATTATATTGATGTACTTTGTATATTGTTACATGTATATTGTTATATTTCATAATTTCTTGTTCTTTTTAAATGAAATCCTTCATTAAACTCTCTGAACTTCGTCAATGTATTTAAAATCCTTACAAAGTTATTAAGAAAATTAATTTCATTTGGAGAACACCCTCCTGATTTTCTCACGTGTGTAATAGCATTAGAGTTTTACTTGCTTGTTAGGAATTTTGAATAACAAGCTCATTTTGAGTGGGGGATATTTTGTTTTCTCTTCATTCATACTTCTTTATTTTTCCCTCCCAAATCTTCCTTCTATCTAGCATTTTTGTAGTTCCATTCACCTACACCCAATCTAGAACCAGGTATGTGTGTACAAATCTGTGTACAGATTTTATATGAACATATTTCTCCTTTCCAAATTTATAATAAACTCTGTGAGAGTAAAGACCATACTTCATGCATTTGTGTTCATCATACCACCTCAGCAGCAAAGATGTATTCAGGAAATAGTGAAATTAAAGTTTCCACTATCTGTATTGAGGGTTACAAACCTATCTAACAAAACTTATTCTGGACTTTAAGTAATAAATTGTTTGGGACACAGAATTTGACCTGCAATTTTCCTTATAATACAGCAACAACCCATTCAATAGTGGTTCTAGAACATTTTTCATTATTTCCTCATTTCCACTGTACCCAACTCAAATCTCCTCTCCATATCCAACTTAATTGCAAGTTCAAGAAAATTCTGAGACATTCTGATACTTTATCCTAACTGGTAAATGGCAGCAGAAAATGAGATAATATCATGTAACTTATGATTCAGCATTAGTCACAACCAATACCCATTTCCAATCCCACAGAATTATCCCTTAAGGTTCTGTCCCAAGCGCTGCTCTTTTTTTTTTTCACCTACAGCATATCAGAGATATGTAGGTTTCCTAAGAGTAAACCACTAAGTCCCCAATGGAGACTTGACTCCTTTGTCTCCTAAACACAGCTAGAAATAAAGAAATGGAACTACATGAAACTAAAAAGCTTCTGCACAGACAATGAAAATATCAATAAAATGAAAACACATCCTACCAAATGGAAGAATATATTTGCACATCATTTATCAATAACGAATTCAGACAACTCAACAAAGAAACAAATTACCCAGTCAAAAATTAGAAGAGTTAAACAGGCACTTCTCCAAAGATTACATGTAGATGGATGATAGCAATATGATAAAATGTTCAAATTCACTATCCTCAGGGATAGTGAAAATTTTTAATGAAAATTAAAACTATGAGATATGACCTCACTCCTATTAGTCATATTAAAAACAAAAACCAAAAACAACAGATGGTGGAGAGGGTACAGAGAAAAGGAACCTTGTACAATTCTGGTGGGAATGTAGACTATTTCAGTCACTATGGAATAGAATATAGTGGTTTTTCTAAATACTAATAATATATATAACGTATGTCCACCAACCCTATTCCTTAGTATTTATCCAAAGAATGTAAAAAAACTATTCAAAGAGACATATGCACTCCTCTGTTCATTTCAGCACTATTTATAACAGCCATATAATGGAAGTAACCCAAGAGCCCACTGAGATGAGTGAATAAAGAAGATGTGGTATAGTTATGCAATGAAATAGGAATGAAAAAAGGAAAAAAAAAAGATGAAATCGCTTCATTTGTAATAACATGAATGGAACTGGAGGGAATTATGCTAAGTGAAATACATCAAAGAGAAAGAAAAATACCAATGATTTCATGCATGTGTGAAATATACTGAAACAAAACAAAGGAACATACTAAACTAAAACAAACCCAAGAAATAGGACTGCAGAATTGAGGGCACTAGAGGGGAAGTAATGAGTTGGAGAATGAGGAGAAGGAGTTAGGACTGTAAGAGCTCTGGTGATAGGTGTGGTGGGGTAACATACATCTAAAGAGGTGTGAATTTTCCCCTAAATCATATACAGTGTTATAAACAAAATCTGAATATTTTTTTAAAAGGATCAAAAATGCTTCTCTGAGTATCTGAGAAAACTTTTTTCTTTAAACAAGAAAATTCTGGGCCTGTTGTTGATAACCAAATAAATCAAAAGAACTAGTATTTCTTTTATCTCTCACCACTACCCATCTACTTGCCAAGTTTCCACTATAGCAACCTTGTTATTCCTTGAGATCAGAACAATTTTTCTTCCATTTTATTTATTTACATGTGTGTTACATCATTTTTCTTTTTTGTACAATGTTTGCTTTCTTTTCTCAGGTGTGGTCCCCATAGAACTTCCACCACCAGTTCACCCATGCACCATCACCATAGTCCCTTGTGTTCTTCCCTCCCTCATTTTGATCCCTCTCCCTCCTCCTCCCCTGCAGAATGTCTCTGATTTATAGTTGTCTGTTTATTTGTTTCATTTTGCTGTTTTTTATTGTTATTTTTTCCCTAGTGTCTTATTTGGTTCCCCTATATTCCTCCTATAAGTGAAACCATCCAATATTTTTCTTTTTCCTCTGACTTAATTCAATGAGCAAATCCCTTCTAGCTCCATCCATGTTGCTGCGAATGGCATTAGTTCATCTTTTTTGATTGCTGAATAGTATTTCATTGTGTGGGATCACAACATTTTAGAAGCTGGCAAGAGCTTTTCTGCTACTGGTTCAAGACAGATTCAAAAGGGTACTTCTTAGAAATCAACTATAGGCTGTATATCTTTTGTACTAATATTAAGTATTATGATTTTATAAAATAATTAAATGTCAGATAACATTCACAAAGAAACAACTAATAGCACTAATTCACTATCTTAAACTTTAGTAAATTTAGCAACCTCTAGTAACTTTTTTCTATATCCATCTATCTTTATATTAGTAATATCTTTCTTCAAACTATTTTGGGAAAAAGATAAATTTCTTCAAAAACTAAAGTCTGAGCCTCCCTGGTAGTGCAAGGGGCTAAGTACTGCATGATGAAGCAATCTTCAGCCTCTGCAGCACGAGTTCGATTCCTGGCAGGCCAGGAAGCAACCCACATGGCACGGCAGACCTCTCCTGTCTCACCAGCTGCTCCCCTCAGCAGTGTATTTTACTCAGTCTCCCTGTTCTGTTCCTCACTCTGTCTCTGGTGAATCCTCTCACCCCCCACATCTCTGGCCTGTACCCCAGCTCTTGTATGCATAAATAAATCTTTAAAAAAAAATAATAAAGCCACTGGGGAGTCTACAAGATACAAATCACAGTCTGAATTACAAAACATTTATTTATATAAAAGAATAAACTGGAATACTGAGCTGATTTTCTTTCTCCTCATAAAAAATTAATAGGCCAATTTCATGTAGGAAGCTTAACATACTCAAGAAAACTATATATTAGATGATAGTAATTGGCATTAATGGGGATTCTTATTTCGAGGGGTAATGGAAACCTGGTTTTAAGTTAAACCAAAAAAAATTTAAACAGATTTTATCAGTATTAAACAGTACAATGCTTATCTTCAAAGAGCTTAGCTGGGGGCCTCCCTGGTGGCGCAAGGGGTTAAGCACCTCACTATGAAGCAATCCAAAGCCTCTGCAGCATGAGTTCCATCCCCAGCAACCCAGGGAGCAACCCACATGGCGCAGCAGACCTCTCCTGTCTTGCCTGCTGCTCCCCTCAGCAGTGTATTTCAGCCAGTCTGCCTGTTCTGTTCCCCACTCTGTCTCTGGTGAATCTTCTCACCCCTCACATCTCTGGCCTGTACCCTAGGTCTTGCATGCATAAATAAATAAATCTTTAAAAAAAAAAAAAAAAAAAAGCTTAGCTGGACAAAAGAGTCTCAATGAATTCTGAAAAAAAAAAAAAATCTTGCTGCTTTCTAAAGGTGAATGAAAATAAATCAACTCACACCCTTTGTGGATATTACTCTACCTACTCTTTTGAAATAGAAACTCAGTGTTAAGTTTAATTACCTTTGGCAATTCCCATTCTGACCGAGATCCATCTGCACTGTAGTAATATTGTCTACCTTGATCATCAACATGCTTGAGCCACTATAAAAAACAGAACAGATTTTTAAATTTTAAAAAGTAAGTTTAAGCTTTACAGCCATAAAGATTCTTAATGAATTCCATTTTACTTGTTCAAAAATGCTGAAAAAATTACTAAACTCATATATTTTGCATTTAAAGTGTGGTAAGAGTAAGTAAATTCAATATTAAGTCTGAATTTATTTTCTCTTTCTTCCTTCCAATGTCCAGCTAGTAATTCAAGCACCACTTAACAATACATCAAGAAATGTATAACATAAAGATACACAGATTAATATATGCAATGAACAGAGCCATGCCCACTCTGAAAACTGATAAAAAATTAAATGAACATTTTAAGTAAAACTGACAATTTAAGCCAAACTTCCCACAAACCCCTAGAAATTACCTTCTGTGGTCAGCACATATTACTGAATACAATTTAAATAAGAGTACCAACCAAACTTAAACAATAAAATTCAGGGAATATAAGAGGGAAAAGATTATGTGTTGCTAATACAAACACATGATCTTGACTGCAACATGAATAAAACTACTGTTTCCTTAAGTTCCTGTGTTAAGCAACTGAAGCAGAAGCAAGGAGCAAATACCTACCTCCATTTATCCCCAGGCACAACCAGCCAGTAACCACCTCTGATGATACCAGACATACACACATAAAATTTCAATATGCTTTCCCAAACTAGTTAATTCATCATACTGTACTAGATTCATGGTTTGTTTCATTAAAATATAAATTTGGTTGTAAAGGAAAAAGGAGTATAGAAAATGAGATGGAACAGCATAATGACATGTTGAAAAATATATTCCCACGAGACTTTTACCCAAGAAAAATATGCTTGTTGAAAAAGACTAAACCAAGGTACATTCAATAGGTCTACTATTAAAAAGGTCTGCCTTAAATGGGTTTTGACACCACAAAAAATCACCGTAATTGTAAGCAGATTAAAACCATGAATCAGTAGTTATACTGAGTTTTTGTGTTTTACTGGCATTAGAGAATTACAATAAAAAAGTAATTTCCAAAAAAGAGTATTTTCACAAGTGTTTTAAATGCCACTAAAACTTCAGTACACAGCTATTTTATGACAGAATGCTGCCAACAAAACTAAATGAGAAAAAAAAGAATGTACCTTTTCATTAGTATAGTCACTGGTATATAGGGTATGCCCACGTTCATCCAACTCTTCTGACCAACCCCTTGGAGGAGAACCACACTGACTATCTGACTGGCTGTAACAAATGCTGTGGTAGTTTTCTTCTGATGAAAGATGCTATAAATAGTCAGAAACATAAGGATTTTTCTTCCTTGAATATAAATATGCAGCAGCTGAAAATCTAAGATATCAACTTTATTTGGCTAAAATATATTTGAATATTTAATTTTCAAAACAAATTGCTTAGTCTTTTAAATGGTACATTGTAAGTGGTGAGATAATAGTGGGTTTTTTTAATCACATTAATACATCCTAGAAAAATTCACCATACCATAAAATTGAAAACAATTGTTTCCAGATGGAGAGATAAAATGCTACCTTCTATTTAATGCTGTTTTTAAACTGAAATTAGATTAATATGTGACACAGATTTGTATGTGTATACATGTCTAAGTAGAGGAGGCAGGTTCTTGAGAATTCTCACTCACATATCACAAGTACTTAGCCAAATGCCTGGCAAACAGCGGGGTTCAATAAATACATCTTGAACTATTATTTTAAAATGTGTTAGAGAGTGAGGAGTGAGAAAAAACACTGGTTTTGCAACACTATTATATTCTAACTTATTGGCAAGTTTTCCTAACTAACTCAACCAAATGATTATTAAAGGTTGTTGCAAGCTAACTCTCAAAACAAGAAAATATAATATTGAGAAAATTCAAACACAATACAGAGAAAAAAGAAATTGTGGTATGGAAGTAATTTCAGTATGATTTACTTTAAAAAAAATGATAAACTCCAGGTATAAAAGAGAAACAAATTAAAAGACTGAGAAAATGTAACAATTTCAGGTTTTTCAAACCTGAAGTAGTCACATTAACCCTACTTAATGTGACTAAGTAGCAATTTGCTTACTGCACTTAAACTTTATTAATTAAACAAATATTTATATTTGTGCAAATGACCATTCTAGGGTCACTTTAAGGTAAAATAGTTCTGCAATTAAACATTACTAATGGACTATAATTTCTCCCATTGTAATGTGGTCTGAAACGCTAAGATGTACAGGTCATCAACGTTGTAGTAGTAACATAAAGACACAGACATGTAATGTTAGTATGTTCATACAAACTGACACAGACTTTACAGAAGACTTGCAAAAAAATAAGTCAGGTTTTGTACAAGTAATGTTTTTAAAAAGTGGAAATCATTAACTCAAAAATTGAAGTTTATTTAATTGAGGCAACTTAAAATCTACGCTTATGTCGGAAGTGCAGTAAAATGTTTCAAAAACAGAATTAAAGGCAATCTAAGTAGTAAAACTGATTTAAGAAACAATCAAACTTATTGAATCTATTTTTTCATAAATGACTTTCTAGTTGACAAAATGATAACCACAGTCTCCTAATTTTTATACAGTAAGATGTTCTCTTCTGTATCAAAAGTAATTCTAATATCTCAATTAAGTTTTACTGCAATATAAAACCAGGAGTAGCTCTAAGATCTTGAAATTTACTGATTGAAAAAAGCCATTTAATTGATTTTTAAAATGAAGATTATTTTTGGCAAGGATTACCAAATACTAAATGTTCTATATTAAATAATTCCATTCATCAGGGTACCTTGCTCAGTGACTTTGGGTACATATATTTTAGCAGATGCTCTGCTATACAAATGCTCTCTTTATAGGATAATATCTGGTAAATACAAAAAAAAAAATTATCCCGACTGAAACAGTTTAAAATATTACATAAGGCTTTTGTTGTTGTCATAGTTCTTTTTAAACATCAATGAGCAAGAAGTTAAAAAATACGCAGAGGACAAAAACTAAGTAAAATCAAGATTCCAGAAAGAAAAATAGAATTGAAAAAACAGTTTTACCCTTTACAGCATTTGTCAAAACCCAAACTAGAATATTAGATTTAAAGACTACAAAGAGTATTCGGGAAAGAGCTCATCAGGTACATCAAACACAGCAAGTCTAAAAGGATACCACACAATACAGAGCTGAGGCCCCAAAAAATTTTGTTTGGAAGTAATAGATTAACCAGAAACAAATCTTGTCCCTTTATTCCAAGCTGGAGGAACCACAGAAATATTTCCCAACAACTGAGAGAAAGTGGGGGAATTTCCAATCTCATACAATGCATATTACTACAACCTAGGAGGTCTGTAAAAACTAAAACTAAAATATTAATTTTAATATTTAAATAATTCCAGTTTATTCAGGCACCTGACAGAAGCAAAATCAAATCCTATTTTAAGGATCAAACTTTTAACTACAACATTAAAGACTTCATCTATATTAATTAATTAATGTAAAACTGTAATTTTACATTGAACACAAATAATCATGGAGTGGAGGAACTAACATTGTCAAAATAGCCACCCTACCCAAAACGATACACTGGTTCAACATAATCGCTATCAAAGTTTCAATCACATTTTTTAAAGAAATGGAAAGAATATATTGCAATTCATGTGGAACCACAAAAGACCCCAAATAGTCAAAGTAATTCTGACCAAAAAAAGAGAGGGAGAATGGCAACATCATACTCCCAAATTTCAAACTACACTACAAAGATAGAATAATCAAAACAGCATGGTAGTGGGGGGGGGGAAAAAAAAAACAGCTACACAGACCAACGGAATAGAGAGCCCAGAAATAAAACCATACCAATACAGACAGTTAATCTGTAACAAAATAGCCAAGACTATCGTAGCAAGGAAAGCCTCTTCAATAAGTGATGCAGGGAAAATGTCACATTGTTTGTTCCAAATAGTTCAGGGAAAAACACTAGAGGGAAGAGGAATAGAAGGATGGAAAAGGATATTAAGAAAATGTGCCAAAATGTTAAGTGGTAGATCTAGATGGTATAAGGATGTTTACTATGTACTGTTCTACTACTTTTGTAAGTGAAAAAACTCTTTTAAGTAAAAGAATAGAGAAGTGCACCTGAGCAAAAAATAAAACATTTTTTTTTTAATTTTAGGATTGGCTTAATATCAAATAAAGACATAGAAGAAGATAAAACTAGCAAAAAGGAGCTAGGTCAGGAAATTATTAAATATGAGGCATGGAGACAGCTAACATTTGTAAGCATAGAAGAAATTACAAGACATGACACAGTGAGTAGATTAAACAATCATATAATCAATCAATAACAAAGCAGGACAGAAGCTATCTATAGTTAATGGCTAAGGATTCTCCAGAACTGATCAATGGTAGGACTCCTCAAATTCAGAAGTTCTAAAAATGCCCTGGCAGAAAAAAAGAAATACTTCACCTAATCACATTGCTGTGAAATTACAGATACAAGATTTTAAAAGCTGACAATGAGAAGAAACAAACTGCTGTTAAAGAAGGCAAACTGACAGGTAAACTTCCAGCATCAATGATGGAAACCTGAAAACACGAGAATTAAATGTTCAATCAACTAGGAAAAAACAGTTAACTTAGAACTGTATATCCAAAAAGATATTCTTTAAAAATGCAGAAAAAATTAATTTCCAAACAAACAGAAACTAAAGTTATCCAAGATAATTTGCATAGAAATGTGAGAAAAGAATTAGGGCCAGATAATTCTTAGTTGTTGGAGCTACCTTCTGAATCAGACTATTCAACAGTAACTCTGGCCTCTCCCTAACTAGACACTCTCCCAGTTGTAGCACCCAAAAATGTCTCCAGTGTCTAATATCTCAGGAGACAACACAACCCCCAATTAAGAACCATTATTCTAGGATAACCACTTAAGCTTCTGAGTTAAGATGAAAGAGTTAACACTTGTTCTCTCAAACGCCACTAAAAGTAGTGAAATATGCTTTTAAAGACCTGAATCCACAAGAACAGGGAGCGCACAAAAAGAAATAGTCACAAAACTCTGGAGATTAAATAGTAGATAAGCAAAAAAACTAAATCTGCAGATAAGTCAGAAGAATGTAAACTGATTGCAGGGAGGGTACAGTTGGAGAGGGAAAATGAAATCTGATACATTTACTGAATCTTCAAATGACTCAGGAAATGACAGTATTAGGTTCCTAGGAAACTGACAGTATTAGGTATTTCTAGAATTGGGGTTGAAGACTAAAATAAGGATTAAAATGGCTAGAATCCCCTTGTTCGTGCCTGGCTACTAGGTGTGTACCACCTAGGGATTTATTTGTTCCCTCTTTAGAAAAACAGTAAGATTCTGAGTTAGGAGGCAGGCACACTGGGACAGGAATCAAACAGAAAGGCGAGAGACTGAGGGACTAAGGTTGACTTTGAATACAGAGGGGGTTAGGGAAGCCAGCTCCCCAAGAGTCAAAAATCTGTGTATAGTTTATAAATGCCCTACTATATAGGGGTCTAACATCCAAGATTGGTTGAATTTGTGAATTCCAAATCTGCAGACAGAAAATACATTCACCTGTATATAAACTGTGGTCAAATTCATGTTGTTCAAGCGTCAATTGTATACATAAACTGCCAACTATCAAGATCTTACTTTCTAGATAGAAGATTTAAAGGAAAAATCTAGTGGTTCCTAACACTGGAGACTGCCCAGCTAGCAGCTGATCCAAGTCACTATAAAGTGAAACTCAAAATGCTCTGCAATTATAAGAAAAATTATTTCTGATTGAAAATTCTATGTTCAAACTATCAATTAAATGAGAATTGTCTCTATTATTTTTTTAGTTTCTTTAAATTCCTTTAAATTATTCTGTAAAAAAAAAAATTATTCTGTAGTTTAGCCTTTTCCCTAATTCTCCCAAATTATAAGATTTTGCTTTATTATTAAGACATAGAAAAATTTATTTTCAAATCTTTCTATAAAATAAAAATTTTCCTAACAGTTTTCTTATTACCATAACATATGAACAACTCTCACTATTCTCATTCTCAAACAATAAAACTACAAGTCACCACCAAACCAAAGCTATAAATACCCAATTGAAAAACAGAACAAGAAAAGGGGTTATTAACTACAGAAAGCTTTCAGAGTCTGCTAAATACAGGATGTGTTACCTGATATTTCCAGCACTACCTAACTTAGAGTTCTGTTTTTATTCTACAAGCCCGATGCCTTGTATAACAGCAAGATGCCCTATGAAGATGGAAGAGCCCCAATCCTTTAAAGAGCAGGAACTCCATTCTATCAACCCTACCTCAGCTTTCCCTTCATATCTAAATAGTCTCAAGGAATTTTTCCAGATCTTTAGGATGAGTATTTCTCAAAATACAGCTGGTCAATTGACTGCACTACTCTCTAAGACAGGGGTAGGACTAAGGGGAAATAGCATGAACACTTGTTAGACAAAATAATTTTAGTGTAAATTTATTAGACTTATAAGGACTATCCTTTTGTAGCAAAGTAATTATATTTATTTCACATACACACAGACACACATAGACATATGTAAACACATAATATAATATATATAAAATTCATTGCTTTTGTATTTGAACAACAAAAAGAGCAAAATTTGATAACTCATTGCTTCATTTCTGAATTACTCATACCTCTTGATCTCCTGAACTCTGGAAATCTCCTTTGCCTATGCTTGTATCCCGAGTCCGAGGTGGTTTCCAAGTTCTTTCCTGTGTTCCTCTGTTGTAATAAAAATAACGTCCTGAACTATCTTTATGAGTTTCCCATTCTCCATTAATCTGAATCGCTGGACTCCCAGGAAGTGGGGGGAGAGCAGACTGGGATATTTTCAGTTCTTGCAGATTAGCATAGACAGGAGAATCTGGCCGTCCTTGATTTGGAGGTGTTGTTGCCTGTGAAAATTTTTAAATATTCATGTTTATACCAGTATTAACATTTAAATATTAAAATGAAATGAGACAGAAGAGTAATAATATCAAATTTGTAACAATTTATAATGCATACATATATACACAGCTATTCATTTTAAAAACATACAGGTATAGATATTCTTTCTAAAAAAATACAGTAACAATTTTAATATTCATAGTTTTGCTGAAAAAAAATATAAAAAGTTTAAATACAATCCAAAGTGTGTTTAGTACTTTCCTTCACTCTGAAAGAAAATTTGACTATGGGTTCTAGTTCAAAATCTGGCACTAACAAATTATTGGATTAGATGTTGGATTAGAGATTACTCTCTAAAACAGAATTTTTTACTCTCTATAGATAAAGGAACTAGATTAAACAGCAAGATCTCCTTTGGCTCTAAAATTATATAATTTTAGTCTTTTTTAAATATAAAAAGTCTTACACATGAATAACTCAGCATTTATTAGTCTATATTCTTTTAAGTTAAAAATATAAGTGAAACATTAAAGAAAAACAATACTTAAAACTATCTATATACTTAAAACTATCTATATTCTCCTCAGTTATAATTTCTCAGTAGTCATAAATATATCTCCCTAGTTTTTTTATTCATGAATTCCCTACTAGTGGAAAATAGGTATTAGCCGTAACTCTGATCCACATATTTTACCTTAATTTACAACTTTATCTTTTACTTTCAAATGTTTCACTAGATGTCAGTCAAGAGCAGAATACTCTTAGTACCCTTTGCATGAGCACACTACAAACTATTAAATTAGAATTCTAGCTGCTGAAGGTAAAAGCACATATCTGAGAATACCTTTTTATACTGCATATTCATATTCATATTTGCATATATAGCTTTCCTTTTACGGGGTTTCTCAATTTTGGTAGTACTGACATTATGGGACAGACAATCCTTTGGGGAGTAAGGGTGCCATTCCGTGCATGGTAAAATTTTTACTGCCACCTGTCCTCTACCCCATAGATGATAATGGCATTCCCCCACTGGAACAAGTAAAAAGCCTCCAGACATTGCCAAGTGTACCCTGGAGACAGAAGTGCCCTTGACTGAGGATCACTGCTTTACTATCCAAATCTTCAAGTTATATTCAGATATTCAATTGTTTGTGTAATGCACAGAGTTTTATAAAGGGAAATGTGAATGGATACACTAAACCAGTTTTATTGAAATTAAGTACTTTAACATCTAAAAGAGTATTTGCCTATAAAATAATTACAATGACTCTAAATCACAGAATAAGTCTTAATGGAGAAAAACATAAAAACAACACAAAACATGAACATATTAATAAAATGGTTCCCTCTGGTCTTTCTATACATAAAGTACATAATAGTACTTTCTATACAAGTACTGTATTCAATGATGCAAATTAGACAGTGTTACTAAAAATGTCAGCCTTTGAATTCAGACTACCATCAAACAGAATCTATGAAGAAAACTACGAAAACAGATTTTCATGTATTTCTCTTACAGACTAATTTCATACTGTGATAAATTAGGCAAGAAGCACAATGCTTCTATGATTACATGTTAACATAATAAAAGAATTATATATAATATTTCATAGAACCTTATCTAGAAAATATTCAGCAAATACTAAAGAAGCCCTTACTTTGCTCACAATACTAGAACTTAGGGAAGAAAGTTCAAGAAACAGTAATTTTATAAAAGATGTTTTTGGATAAATTCTACTAAATCATTAAACAAGTAACTCTTGTTTAAACAGTTCAAATTTAAATAGTTTTTCCAATTTAAAAAAAAACTGCAATGATTAAAGTCTCTGCCACTAGCAAAATTCTGAAAAAGCAGATAAGAATTAAATGAAAATTATAAACCAATCTCACTTATAAACATAAATGAAAACATCCTAAATAAGAGATAACCAATCAAATTCAGCACTGCATTTAAAAAAAACTCAGGAAAAGCAGAAATGTTAGGAAATCTCAGAGTGTAAGTCTTTACATTAACAGATGAACATGACCATCTCCACACACCCCAGCAATGCATTGGATAAAATTCAACATGGATTCAGGATTCTTTAGCAAGTAAAAAATAAGTAAAGTTTCTTACTTAGCAAGACCTATAAAACATTTTCACAAAAATCAAGACTAATAGCAGGGTGTCAAATACCACTCTTTTTCCAACATTGTACTAGAGGTTCTAGGCAATGTACTGAGATATTAAAAATGAATTCAACTCTAAAACACTGAGAAGGAAAAAAAAAAACTGGTATCTGTCACTGACATAACCAATATATGAAACTCCAAATTCACGAAAATTTCTAAGGAGTTTAGTGAACTGGCCAAAAACAGACTAGATATCATCTAATCAGTTTCCCATTCATGAGCAATGACAAAATGAAAAGCATTAACAGACTAAAACAATCTCATTCACAACTGGAGAAGTGATAAATAATAAATAAGTCTTAAAAGATAGGTAACAGATCAAATGAGGAACACTAATACTTTCCTCAGGTAGAGCTAAAATTAGACTTGAACAGCTAAGTCCTTGATCCTAAGTGGAAAAACTTAACTCTGTAAACATATTAATTGTCCCAAATTAATCTATAAATGCCATAAAATTCAATGCAATGTTCAGCACAAAGAACTTGTTAGATGAATGAACAAACACAAGAACATAAGAATGCAAACACATACGCTGAGTAAAAGCAAAATTCAAGGATTTGGTACTGGTTACACATGACAGAGATTAGGAAACTAGGAAAACATCCACAACTCTACTTTGGGGAAAAGGATAGACAGTTCTGTCACCATTTACAATAAATACTATAAAAAATAAATTGAACAGGGTGTCCCTAGTGGGGCAAGGTGCTAAGCCTCAGGCTGGGAGCTAGCCCACATGGTGCAACAGACCTCTCCTGTCTTTAAAAAAAAAAAAAAAAAAAAAAAGGAAGGATGGGGTTTGGAGAGTTTCCAAGGTGTGACTATTTGAGGGAAAAAGGCACACCTGGAGAGCGCATGGAAGCTATATGCCTTTTCCATGTACTTTGTCCTAAGCATCTCTTCCATTTGTGCTTTTAGTCTCCTTTGGAATGTATCTGATTCAGTGATTCTATTAGTCACTCTAGCAAACTAACCTGACGTGGGTGTCCTGATTTATAGTCAGTTGGTCACAGAACAGACATAATCTGGGTTTTGAACAGGTAGTCTGACGAGGGGTTGTGGAGACCCCTGATCAATAGTTGACAGCTTAAAACACAGATATGCTGGGGCTTATGGCCTGTGTCTGATGGAGAGGGAAGTCTTGGGAGACAATCCTTCAACTGTGGAATTTGATGCTATCTCCAAGTACACAGTGTCAGAATTGAGTTGATTTCTTGCACACCCTGCTGCTGTCCAAGAATTGCTTGTTGGAATGGGGATGTCTACCTACAACCCCTGTTGGAAACTGGCCTACATGGACCCAACAATGAACCATGTAAAATATGGGGAGATAGGAGGCAACAAAAACAAAATTTAGAAGAAAAAAAATCACATACAGTCAAGGAGTTATGCTGACGTGGAGCAGCAGAGAAAGACCTAAAGTGAAGCAAGTTACAGAACAAGGAGAGTTTGTATGTCATGTTAAAAAGCATAGACAATATCCAATAGCATGTAGGAAAATACTGAAGATTTTCCATCAGAAAGTATGTTCTCATTTAAAACAGCTGCATAAGGGGGCCTCCCTGGTAGCACAAGAGGTTAAGACGCAACCTATGAAGCTGTGTACAACCACTGCAGCATGAGTTCGATTCCCTGGCCAGCCAGGGAGGTGATCCACATGGCGCAGCAGACCTCTCCTGTCTCGCCTGCTACTCCCCTCAGCAGTATATTTTAGTTAGTCTGCCTGTTCTGCTCCCCACTCTGTCTCTGGTAAATCCTCTCACCCCCCCATCTCTGGCCTGAACCCCAGTTCTTGTATGCCTAAATAATCTTAAAAAAAAAACAACAGCTGCATTACAGATTTTAGGGGGACAACTAGAAGCAGAGATAAGTCAGAAAGTTGGTACAATATGACAAGGATAGGAATGGAAAAGCAGGGCCAGCTTCAAGCAGGTTAAATTAATTAATAGGCAGATTATATGTTTGTCTATGTGAAGCAGAATTTTTGTGGTTTTTTTAAATCATAAATTAAATAATGTAATGGTAAGAATAGGATAAAAAAAAAGGAGCAAAGTAGAGTTTCACATAGAATGTATGAGGTTGGTATGCCTTTCAAACTCCAGACGGAAGTGCCCATAGACTGTTAGATACACAGATTGGGAATTCAGCAAAGACATCAGGGCTAAAAATACGAATGTAAAAGTTATTATATAGGTGGAACCAAAATCTTGACAGTGTATACAGATGGGAGGAGGAGGAAACCAGAACCATGGAGAATTCTAAGCAGTTAAACTTTATGAATTAAAATGAGAACATGCATATAAAATTAGCACAAGGTCTGGCATGGTGACTTCCAGTGTTTTAGTAGTAATTTTATATAAAAAATATATATCCATGTGTATGAATGTATATGCTTGTGTAGTTTTGTTTTTGTTTTCCAAGACACCAAAGTAAGAGAATTTACTAAAGGAAGCAGAAAGAAAAGTGAGAAGTAGAAGGTCTAACAGGAAATGGTATATTTAAAAGTCAAAGAGAAAGAAATTTTCCCAAAATAGGGAACTTGATGGTATCAACCTAAAGAGTTCAAAATAAGGGCTCTAAAACGCAGTTTCAGCAACTGAGAAGTCGTTAGAAGACCAATTTCCAGATGCTAATACTCCAAAATTACTTTCCTGTCATAAACAACTTAAAAAGTGAGTAAACAGGAAATAAGTATTTTCAGACATTGTACAACAATCATTACAGGACTGTGGTTCCTGAAAGAAGAAACTGAGGGATTCCTATTGCTCTCAGCTTTCCACCTGTAGTTATAGAAACGGGCATAGGGAAGGGAAACCAAAACAGGGTCTTGCAA